CGCTCACAGCAGCTGCTGGCCGCTCACGCTGGCTGCTGGCTACACACAGTAGCCCATGGCAACCCACTGCCACAGGGGCTGCAGCCTACCCGTTGTCAGTGACTCACAGCAGCCCAGCTCCAGGTTGAGCTGTTGTTCACCATCTTAGCTGTAGAAGGCAGCATCACTGGCCCTCATATGTGGGATCTGAACCGGGGCCCTCTGGCGTCCCAAGCCAGTTCTTAACCATAGCGCCACTCGGCCGGCCCTAGTATATACCTTTTTTAAACAACAAGATCTCATTTTGTGTGTCATTCTGCAGCTTTTTTCACTGACAGGTCATCATGGATATCTTGTCAGCACTCAGAATCACCTCCATTCTTTCACATGATGGTGTAGAATTCCACTGACTTACTACCAAGATGGATTCTGGTTCCCTCCTGATAAATTTTGAGCTGTTTTTGTTCTTCACTGTTGCAAAAATGCCAAGTAGCCATTGTGTGCTGTGCCGCTCCGCACTCACATAGCAGCATACCCACTGGGAATATCTTGGAGGTGGTGGGGACAGTGTATCTGCATGGCACCAGGGGCTGGGAAAGTGCTGCCCAAGAAGGTAGTGGCAGGCCCTGATCCCTCTCGGTGTCCCACTCACCTACTCCCCCTTGCCCTCTGCCCCCACAGTGGCCAGTTTGCAATCGTGCGGAAGTGCCGGCAGAAGGGCACTGGGAAGGAGTACGCGGCCAAGTTTATCAAGAAGCGCCGCCTGTCTTCCAGCCGGCGGGGGGTCAGCCGGGAGGAGATCGAGCGGGAGGTGAACATCCTGCGAGAGATCCGGCACCCCAATATCATCACACTGCACGACATCTTCGAGAACAAGACCGACGTGGTGCTCATCCTAGAGCTGGTCTCTGGCGGGGAGCTCTTTGACTTCCTGGCAGAGAAGGAGTCACTGACAGAGGACGAGGCCACTCAGTTCCTCAAGCAGATCCTGGACGGTGTGCACTACCTGCACTCCAAGCGCATCGCCCACTTCGACCTCAAGGTGAGCCCCGCCAGGAACCTCAGGACGGAACTGGGAACCAGCCGGGCCTCCCGAGCCTGACTGGAGCAGGTGAGGGTGGGAGCCCGAGAGCGGGTCCGACTTGTGGGTGCAGAATGCACACCCCTGCATCCGTGATGCTCCAGGGGTCAAGGAGATGGACCGGCTCAGCCCTGGACCTGTGGGGTGACATCAGCCTGCCCACACTCCATGGGCTGGGAGTGGGGGTGCCCAGGGAAATTCTGGGTGCTGTTCCCAGAGACGCCCAGCCGGCAGAAGCAGCAGATCCTCCTCTCACCATCCTGCTCTTCCCCTGCCCCAGCCGGAAAACATCATGCTTCTGGACAAGAACGTGCCCAACCCAAGGATCAAGCTCATTGACTTTGGCATCGCCCACAAGATCGAAGCTGGGAACGAGTTCAAGAATATCTTTGGTACTCCGGAGTTTGTGGGTAAGGCCCTGCCGGTGCATTGGGGGCTGGGGCTTGGGAGGGGCACTTAAGGATTTCCGGTGGTGTGAGGTGCTTTAGGCCCAGCCCCTGGATGCCTGGCCCTTTGCCCTCAGGTGCCGTCAGGCATGGGGAAGCTCAAGGCCTCAGGGTGGTGCCGTCACCATCCCAGTCTTCCTGCACCAGAGCTGGTTCTGCCTGTGTGTGCGTGTGCATGCTCCCGAGCGACCAGTCAGCTGCAGGGGTGCTGTGTTGCTGCCCTTGGCCGAGTCCCCGTTGCGGCCTTAGGTGCAACCAGCTCCTGACCCTGCACCTTCTGTCTCCCTGTCCCAAAGCTCCTGAAATCGTAAACTACGAACCCCTGGGTCTGGAGGCGGACATGTGGTGAGTCAGCAGGAGCTTTGGGGGCCCAGGGCTGCCCTGTGCTGAGCCCAGCACACACACCTGGGACCGCTCCTCAGGGAATGCCTTACTGCTTATCCCCAGGTGCTGCAGGCTGGGACACAGCCCATCCTGTGGTCTTGGTGCCATGGGGTGTGGGCAGGACAGACCTTTTCCTTAGAATAGGGGTCAGCAAATTGCAGCTCTCGGGCCAGAGCAGGCCCAGGAGCTGGGAGCACTGTTCTTGTTTTTTAAAAAGGTGTTAAAAACAAAACAGACGAATATGTGACAGACCATTATTGGCCCACAAAGCCTGAAATACTTGGTGTCTGACCCTCTGTACAGTTTGCCAGTCCCACCTTTGGGCCCCAACAAAGCCATAGAAGGCGCCACAGCTACAGGGCCTGTGGGGCCATTGTGCTGTCTACCCCATCCCCACCTCTAGTCCCTTTAGGCCTTGATAGGGAAGGTGTGACCAGAGGTGTTTAAATACCCAATACTTAGACCCCAGGGCAGGAGGAGGGGAGCAGGCAGGTGGGCATGACTCTTGAAATCCTGGGAGCTGACAGACCTGCCTGCCTGGCCTGAGAGCCTTGGGCTTGTGGCTTACCCCTGGGGGCCCTTTAGAAACTCTGGGAGTCAAGATTTTGCGCCCCTACGGCTGAGCTGTGTTCTCGTCTCTTCTCTTCCAGGAGCATTGGTGTCATCACCTACATCCTGTGAGTACCTAGTTGGCATCTTGCTGCCCCTCTTGGGGCCCTGCTGGGTCAGGAGGAGGGTCAGGGGGGCTTTCGTGTGGGGACAGTGATCTCAATCGTGGGACCCCTAGTGCTCTGACCTGTTGAGATGCTCAGCAAACTCTGGGTGGATGGATAGATGAATGAATGAGTGAGTGAGTGAATTTGTGCCGGAGAGAAGAATGTGGAGATAGGGTGAGGGTGAAGGTTCCAACTTTCCATCCTATGGCTTTTGGAAAGCCATCCCCAGGCTTTCCACAAGTCACCTCATTAGCATAAACTGTGAAGTTGGAAGGGGCTTGATATGAATAACAAACGCTTTTTTCGTCTTTATTCTCTGGAGCCATTTCAGGAACTAAGGACAAGGATTGACTATTACATCAAAAGATCCTCCTACCTTCTTAGCTCTTAAGGTTTAGGAAATCCCAAGGGTTTTGGGATCCATGTGCCCGAGGACAGGGATGAAGACCATATATGTATTTCTTACCATAAGTCACAGTGTCAGGTGCCCAAGAATCCCCTCAGTGCAGCATATCAGGAAGGCAGGCGACACAAGTGTGTCATCACTGGTGATGCGCACTCTGACTGTGTGCTGGGTGGCGTCAGCCAGGATTCCTCTGGAAAGTCACTGGCTTTCCCACTGGAATCACTAAACATTCTGGGGGAGATGCTTTGAGACTGTGTGTCTATGTAGATACTTTGAGTTTCCACAGGGACTTTTGCCCACTGGTTTTAGCGCCTCCTGTGGCTGGGCAATGACTTACTGCCTTTTGGTTGGTGGCCAGGGGGTGGCTGGGGGAAGGTTCCAGACGAATGCGTGTGTGGGATGGCCAGGGCCCAGTGTCCCTCTCCCTCCACGTCTGGCCCCTTCATGGATACCACACAGATTGGTGGCAGTGCAGGCAGCGGCTTGTTCGTGAAGCCAGTGCAGGGGACACTGAGCCTCATGTCCATCTCCCAGCTTGAGCGGCGCATCCCCATTCCTGGGTGAGACCAAGCAGGAGACCTTAACCAACATCTCAGCTGTGAACTACGACTTCGACGAGGAGTACTTCAGCAACACCAGCGAGCTGGCCAAGGACTTCATCCGCCGGCTGCTTGTCAAGGACCCCAAGTGAGCTGTGCAGGCCAGGCAGAGGGATCGGGGGGCAGCCCTGCAGGGAAGGCTGAGTGAGCCCCCCTGGAATGGATGGTGTGGCCAAGAACACGTACCTCCAAGCCACCACCTCCCCATAACAGGCTTCTGCTTGGGCTGGAGATAGCAATGGAAGGCTTTGGTTGGCCCACACTGTGTCTTAAGAAGCTTTTTATTCGTTGCCAAATTTTAAAATCGAGGTTTCACATAAAATTCCAGGTTATTTTCTTTTTCTAGAAAAATATCTAAAAATTCTGGCAGCACAGAGCCCTCATTCACGAGAAAGTGCTCCTTTTGGCTGCAGCCTTCCCCTGGCGTGTGCTGCCCATTTTTGTGACTCGTCTGGCCCCTCTGTGGGTGCCTGAGTTGTTTGAGCCCAGCATTAGGTCCTGACCCTGTTAACAAAAGCCCTCAGGGCGCACGGAGACCCCAGAGCCTGTGACCCAAAGGCCCCCTTGCCGGGCTCCTTGTGGCTGGCCCAGCAGAGTTGGGTGCTCAGGATTGTGTGTGTGGTTTCAAGGTCATTTCAGAGACTTGCTGCCAGACTGGAGGGTGACTCTAGGGGTTGGGGGTCTTCAGGGGCAGTTGTCTGCATCACCTCTCGGCAGGGTGCTGACAGCAGGACTGCGGCAGGGAAAGCCTAGAAACCCCTTCCCTGCTCTCTGCTTGGTTGGGGGAGGATGGTGCAGATGGCACATGTGTGACTAAACAGGGCTTGGGGGGTGCTCTTCCAGGAGGAGAATGACCATAGCCCAGAGCCTGGAGCATTCCTGGATCAAGGTGAGGCGGGGGGCTGCTCCCACTGAAGGATGGCAGGCATGACAAGCTCTCAAAATCCAGGGAGGGTCCCCAGAGCGGTGGGCCTGGGCAGTGGGGGAATGGGGTACTCTCTGAGATGGTGTTGGATCCATCTCCCTGAGACACTCAGCTGGAGTTCTTGGCCCTTCTGTGTACACAGCAGGGCTCCTCCCCACAGAAACTTCCCGGAAAGGGGTCACCTCTAGGCCAGAGTTGGCAGTGTTCTGTAAAGGGCCAGAGCATCAGTGTTTTCATCTCTGTGGTCCCTGGCATGACTGTAGTCTGCCATCAATACTCGGCTCTTCATCGCAGGAAAACATGTCGGGACAGTATGCACATGGGCATGGCTGTGTGCCAATAAAACTTTATTTGCAAAAGCAAGCAGAGCGCTGGATGTCGCCCTCAGTGGTCCTCCATCTGCCCCCTGCTTCAGGCTGTACTCTCTCAATCCCCCTGCAGGCGATCCGACGGCGGAACGTGAGACGGGAGGACAGTGGCCGGAAGCCGGAGCGGAGGCGCCTGAAGACTGCCCGCCTCAAGGAGTACACCATCAAGTCACACTCAAGCATGCCCCCCAACAACACCTACATCAACTTCGAGCGCTTTTCCAAGGTGCTGGAGGAGGTGGCAGCGGCTGAGGAGGGCCTGCGCAGCCTTGAGCACAGCCGGCGGCTCTTCCACGAGGACATCGAGGCGTTGACAGCCATCTATGAGGAGAAGGAGGCCTGGTACAGGGAGGAGAATGAGAGCATCGGCCAGGACCTGCGGCGGCTGCGGCAGGAGCTGCACAAGACCGAGGCGCTCCAGCGGCAGGCCCAGGAGGAAGCCAAGTGCGCCCTGCTGGGGGCCAGCGGGCTCAAGCGCCGCTTTAGCCGCCTTGAGAACCGCTATGAAGCCCTGGCCAAGCAGGTGGCCTCGGAGATGCGGTTTGTGCAGGATCTGGTGCGCGCCATGGAGCAGGAGAAGCTGCAGGGTGTGGAGTGTGGCCTCCGCTAGGGCTGCAGGGGGTGGGTGGGCCCAGAGGGTCCTGGGTGGTGGGTGTCCCCTCAGTAGCCCTGGGGCCAGGCCCCTTTGTCACCCTGTTCAGCCCTGGAGAGTCCTTGGGCTGGGGCTGAAGGGGGAAGAGGTGGGCTGGGCTGGCCAGGAATTGATGGCTTAGGGGAGGGGCTTGGCCAGCTGTGTCCCAGGAAGCCAAGGCTGATGTTGCCTCCTAGTCTTCACAGCATGCCTCCCTCTGGTTGAGCCCCTCCCTCCTGCAACACTGGTGACTCAGGGTGGGGGTGCTTCTGGGGCAGCATCACCTGCGGAACTGGGAAGTCTCTGTGAGGGATTGGTGCCTCCAGGAGAACTAGCCACAGTGGACCCAGATGCCTCATGCCTGGGTGGTGGGGTGGCAATCTATATCCTGGGTCAGGGGGCTACATGGCAGTTGGAGCACACAGCAGAGCCTGGTCAGCACCTTTAGGCCCTCCACGCTGGTCCAAGTGCATGCAGCCTCGGGGATGGTTTGTGACGGCCTCTGCACGCCCCAGGACTTGGAATTGGAGGGGCCTCTGCTGGGCAACCCAGCTCCTCTTCTAGAGATGGGTGGTAACTCCTCCAGGATCAGTGGAGGTGGCCTCTAAGCCTGGCTATCCCCATACTCCAGCCCCTTGCTGGGGCACCCCCCGGCCCTGGACTGGACCCTAGGACCAGAGCTAAGGAGCTAGCCCAGCCCTCGAGGAGGTAGTACTGGGGGGAGCATGTGGCCAAGTATGTTGCTTGGATGCAGTAAAGGAGACATCTGCAAAGGTTGTGTCTGTTCCCTCCCTGAGGCCCAGGGAGCCCCTGGGCACTGGGTGAGGCAGGTCCGCAGGGGCCAGGGGCCTGGGGACAGAAGTAAAGAACCATCATCCATCCTGGCGCCCTCCTTAGAGGGGCAGGCTATAGAGCCATGCTCTCTCTTCACTCCCTCACAATGCCAGGTTCAGGCTTCCCATGACACAGTCCCTGCTGTGCCAAAGCCACCAGTTGGGGTCCCACCCCTGCCTCGGTTCCTGGTCCTGCTTCTGCCTCACACTTCTTGGTGGAGACCACGTGGAGTAGTCCAAAAAGGCTGGTGGGCCCAGTGCCCCCTCCCCAGAGAGCCCCAGGGCTCCTTAAACACCTCCCCACCCCGGCTCTGTGCTGCCTTCTGTGGGAAGAAGCCCTTTGACTCTGCCTCTGATGGTGTTTCTCACACGCATCTGGCTAGAGCATCTGGCTAGAAACCCTCGGGGGACTGCTGCCCTGGACCTGAGGGGTTAAGGGGGTTGCAGCGGACAGTGCCGTCGTGCGCCACTAGGTGCCGCCCTTGAGCAGGGTCTGCGCTTCAATGAAACAGGTCCCTAGCTGGTGGCCACTCAGCTTGGAGTTGTCTGCTGCAGGTTGGGTTAAGTGAGGGACACCTGTGCTGACACCCCTCTCAACCCCCCCCCCCCAGTCTAGCTGAATGGAGGGAGGAACCAGGCTGGCAGGACTGGGACTGGTATTCCTGCTGAGGCCACTGGCTCGGGGCTCAGGCAGGACTTTGGGACCTGGCTGTGGGGTCTGGCAGAGGGGTCTTTTGTCATGTGCAGGCCCATCTCAGGTCTGGGGTGGGACTCCCTGTATCTCCCTCTGCAAGCTCCATTGTATCATGTATGCATGCCTCTGCAAGCATGTGCGAGCCCAAAGGAAATAAAGCCCAGATTCTGACATCCAGCTGTTGTCTGTGCTTGGGCCTGGTGGGGCAGCCAGCCCTGGGTCACTTGGCTTCATGGTCTCTAAGCTCTACTCCATCTACTGCCTGCCCCCGTGTTCCTCAGGAGAAAGAGGGCAAACCTGGAGTGTGATATCAAGGCTGCCCCAATCTTGGGGCTCAGTTGGACTCTGGTTATTTTTGTTGCAATGAACTGGAAGTCAGAGCGGCCTCACGGAGGTCCCTTGGCACCTCCTGAGATGCGAGGTCACACTTGGGCACCCCTGCCGTGCTCTATACCCCGGTGCACAGGGCCCCAGCACAGGCCACCTTGCTGTCTGCACAGTAGGAACGTGGGTAGTGTCATTGCTCCTCAGCACAGCCTCTGGGTCTGCAGTGTGGCTCCAGTGAGGGACTTTCTGACTCTTAAGTCCTTCCCAGGAGCCAAAGTTCTGAGCCTTTGGCATCCCTTGGTCATTCTTCTGTTGCCTCATTTCCATACACCAAGGGTCATGTTTCTCCGTTTTTTTTTTCTTTTTAACTTTATAATCTTTTTAATTGAGATAGCTCTCACTATATAATTGATTTTTTTTTTTAAAGATTTTTATTGAGGAATTGGGGGATGGGAACAGCGCTGGGGAATTGGAGGAAGGGGAACAGACAAGTTGCTGTCCTTTTGTTCTTGAGTCTAGTTGTAGAAGACGTTGCTTCACTGGCTCAAGTTGGCACCATCATTGTGCTCTTCCCGGGTGAGGCAGATCAGTCGCTGGCTTCTGGACGGCCGCTCACGGCGGCTGCTGGCCGCTCACGCTGGCTGCTGGCTACACACGGTAGCCCATGGCAACCCACTGCAGCAGGAGCTGCAGCCTACGCCGTCGCCAGCGACTCACGGCAGCCCAGCTCCAGGTTGAGCTGTTGTTCAGCATCTTAGCTGTGGAGGGCAGTGTCACTGGCCCTCATATGTGGGATCCAAACCGGGGCCCTCTGGCATCCCAGGTCAGCTCTTAACCAACATGATGCCACTCGGCCGGCCCGATCTTTCTCTTTTTTTAAAGATTTTTTTTTTAATTGGGGAATTGGGGGAGAGGAACAGTATTGGGGAAGGGGAACAGCCAAGTCGTGTCCTTCAGTCTTAGTTGTGGAGGGCGTAGCTAGCTCAGCTCCAAGTCCAGTTGGGCTGCTCAGCTCAAAGTGCTGTGTTCAGTTAGTTGCGGGTGGGCATAGCCCCCATCCCATGTGTGAGTCAAACCAGCAGCCTTGTTAAGAGCGCATGTTCTATCCACTGAACCACCCGGGCGGCAGCTCAGCTCAAGGTGCCGAGTTCAGTCTTTAGTTGTGGGTGGGCATAGCCCACCATCTCAAACAGGCAACCTTGTTGTTAGGAGCACGTGCTCTCACCAGCTGAGCCATCCTGCCACCTGTTGGCAGCTCAGCGGCAGCTCAGCTTGGGTGCAGCTCACTGGCCCATGTGGGAACCGAACTGGCAACCCTGTTGCTCAGAGCCTGCACTCTTGAGGAAGCTCTTAACCAACTGAGTCACTCGGCCAACCCTACAATTGATCTTTTAAAAAAATATTTTTGGTAAATAACTTTCGCTTTTGAAATTCTAGTAAATTTCAGTTCATCAAATGTTCAGACCTACTCAGGTTTCCCCAGTCGGTCCATGACTGCCCTTCACAGCTGGCTTGTCCAGGCCAGGCCATGGTCTTGCCTGCACATGGCACCTGGCTGTTAGGTCCCTTTGGGTTTAAATACTGGGCTCTGCAGCAAATTCCCAGAGTTCACGTTGCAGTCTGCCCCTGGTGGGAAAGGGGCACCCAGGGGTGTGTAATTTCTATAGAATTAATGAGGCCATAGTCTGTCTGCTGGTGCTACCTGTCTCTCATGGAAAAGGAGAAACTTTTATGCAGTGCCAGAGGGTCTCCAGATCCCAAGGAGGGTGGTTATACAGAGGCTGCCTGCAGGTCCCCAGGGGACTGGTGAGCAGCATACTCCCAGCCATAGTTTACCAAGTCCCACTGCATTCTGGGTATGTCAGGTACGGTGGGCATCGGTGGAAGGTTGAGACCGTGTCTGTCTTGATGGGGTTGGGCGAGGGGTACTTAGCTATCCTGCCTTTCAGATTAAGGCTGGGTAGAACCTTAAATGCATTCGGACTCATATCTACCCTTTCAGTACGCAGGGTCCACCATGCTGCTGGGCTAAGTCCTCAGTGTCTTTCAGGGGGTAACAGGCAGGCGTCCTTGTTCTGGACATGATCTCTGCCCCAGCCTCCTGACCTGGATTATCTTCAGTGGCTGAGCTCAGCGCAGCCTTCGTTTACTCAGTCTGTCAGTTGAGGACACAGAGAACCACCTTGGGGTAATTAAGCACCTCTCTAGGGTGTCTGGCCCATGCAAGCACTTAGCAAACAGCACTGCACTTTTGCAGAGCCTGCTGGGCCAGTGTGCTGTTATTCATACTGACTGCAGCTGGCAGACTGAGATGGCCCCCAAGGACCCCTGCCTCCTGCTGTTCACTCCCTTGACAGTGGGCTGGCTTCGTGGCGGGTTCTAACCAACAGAATAGAATGGAGGTCACTTCTGTGATTAGGCTACATCAATAGTGACTTCCATCTTGCTGGCACACTCTTTCCCTTGCTGGCTTTAATGAAGCCAGCTGCCATGTTGGAGAGGCCCACATGGAAAGGTACAACCAGCAAGGAATGAAGCCCACCAGCCACATAAGTGATCTTAGAAGCGGATCCTTTCCCAGTCAAGCCTTCAGATAAAACACAGCCCTGTTTAGAGTGCAGTGCTCATAACACCAAGGTTGCCGGTTCGATCCCGTCATGGGCCACTGAGCTGCGCCCTTCACATCTAGATTGAAAAAACTACTTGACTTGGAGCTAATGGGTCCTGGAAAAACACACTGTTCCCCAATAAAAACAGAAGAACACAGCCCTGGCTGACACCTGGATTGCAGCCCCCTGAGAGACTAAGCAGAAGACCCAGGTAAGCCATGCCCAGGTTCCTGATCTATATAAACTGTGAGATAACACGTGTTGTTTTTAAGCCAGTACGTTTGTGTTGATTTGCTCCACAGCAATAGCTAATGCACCGGTAAAGGCACACTGCAACCACTTGCCAGTTTACTGAACTATTCAACTTACGCTGTTTCCCCTCTTATAGCACCTTGTCTATTTGCTGTGCCTTCATTCCTCTCTTTCCAAGAGTGTGATTGGGGGCACGTGTTAGCACTGGGCTGTCATTGTCCTTCTGCTCTAGGGAGATGGACCACTCAGCAAATGTGCGGAGTGAGAACTCTCTGCTGCCTGGGTTCGCCTTATGCAAAGTGGGAATGTCTTCTTGCCTGCTTCTTGAGATGGGTGGGAGGCAGGAACTATAGGAGCCATGAATTCCATCCCTCCAGCTGTCTGGAGTCAGGTCACACCTGCCCGTATGTTGGCTCAGGATTTGGCTGCAGTTTGTGAAGCTTTTTGGAAGGAAGGGGGTTAAACCTGTGTTTATGTCAAAGCAGAGCTCACACACAGCGTGGCATGGCGAGTGAGGGAGGTCAAGGGAGGTGGGCTTCTGCTGGCCCTGCCCCACATTGCAGCGTGACCTCGGGCACATGGCCCTCTCCTGGCCCCATGGTCCCAACTGCAAAATGGAGGGAATTGCTCCTTTCCCTGTCCAAGACACCATGAGGATTAAGTAGGAGCTTTCACAGGCGTTTTATAATCATCAAGTGCTGCATAAATGTTGATGGTACAGCTAATCAAACCAGAGTCTCAGAGCTGGACGAGGCTCAGAGAACAGCAAAGCTGGTGTTCCAGGGGAGGTCAAGTTCTCCAAACTGACACCAACTGCTGAGAAAGATGTGGGTGGGAGGGGCAGGCACAGTGATCACAGCGATTAAGTGTGTGGATGATTCTCTAGGCAGCAGTGAAGTGAAACCCGCTACTCGCTACTCGGGGGTCAGCAGCCGCTGTGCCAGTCCCTTGATCAGGAAGGTGTTGGGACAGTGGACCTCCTCCTCAAGAGGTGCAGTGGGGAGGCCATTAGGAACCTCCTGCTTTTACCAGCACGTAAGATGGAGCCCTAATTTTAGGCCTTATACCACAGCTTGGGTTTAGTCACATGGCACTTTGGAGATGAGTCAGTGTCTTGGGTTCGAATGCAGCCTGATTGAGCTCCGGCCCTTGGCAAACACACCACCTCTCCGCACCAGTCTTACCTTCCCCCAGGGATAATGGTTCCGTCTGCCTCTTAGGGTAGCATTGAGTGTGGAAAGAAAGGGTGTGTTGGGGTCCAGCACACACTGGGTGCCCACGTGAGTCTTGTTAGATTTGGAAGGCTGGGATATAGGAATCACCATGCCAATCTGGGTTGAGCAGAGTGCTGCCCATCTCTTGTAGGTCAGAGGGCAGTCCCTGTGCCATCTTCCCCTGGCCCAGTGGCCGAGAGCACGTGCCAGCCAAGTCCACAGCTGCCGCACTCCTGACCATACTTGGGCAAAAAGCTACGGGCGCTATTAATAACTAGGGTGCACCCGCCCAGGTCCTGGGGCCAGGAGGGCCAGCAGCTCCTATAAAGCCAGGCCAGCCAGCCCCCAACGGTTCCTTCAGCCCCTGAGACCTTTAGCCCCCCTGTTGTGAGAGAAAAAGAAAAGTAAGTACCAAAACCATCTCCCCCATCCCTCCGCCTGGCCCCACTTGGCGGCCTGAAAAGTGAGACACAGAACAGTGGTGAAAAGACATACCCCATGCAAAGGACATCTGAAACACAGCCTCAGCCTCGGTGGCACTTAACTGTCCCAGGCGGTTTGTGGGCTGTCCCAGCAGGGAAGAGGGCAGAGAGGAGGAAGAGGAGAAGGAGGACGAGGAGGAGGAGGAGGCAGCTGGTCTTCATCAGTTCTCCTTGTCCTAGCGGGGAGAGCCAGGACCCCAGCCCTGGGCCAGGCTATCCCAGAATGCATGTGTGTTTTGCGGTGATGTGGCCGTAGCTCTCGCTCCCCTTGGGGAGTGAACGGTGGGGATTGAGGGCGGGGCTACCTCATTACCCTGCTTCCACTCCTGTCTCCAGACCCCCTGGTATCCCCTGCCCCCTGGGGTTTTATATTTTGAAAGTCCGTTTATGGGGGTACTTCCAGGCCTATCTGGACTGAGCCCTGTTTGCCCCTGACTAAACCCCAAGACACTCCAGCTCCGGCAGCTGCCTGACCTCTGCCTCCCCCTGCCCTCCCTGAGACTCAGTTGTTTGGTGTTTGGTGACTTTGTTGAATGTCAGAGAAGCTTCAAGGGAACATCGAGGAGATGGGACCATTTTGGGTACCCCAAGCCCCCACCAGAATGTGCTGGGTAGATTTAGGAGGGCTCCTGGTGGCAGTGGAGGGCATGTGACAATCTGAGGCCATCAGCCACCCCAGTCTGTCCCTGTCAGCCCACTCCTCCCCCAGGCACTGGCAGACCCCCCCCCAGTTGTCCCCAAGGACATATCCTCAGGGGCCTGGTGGCTGGAAGGACGGGAGCCTGAGGTCAGGCAGCCTTCAGAGGTGACCGCTCTGGCCCTATTGGGACACGTGTGGGGGTGAGCATGCCAGCAGAGTAACTGCTGATTAAGAGGGCTGGCTGAGTGCTACTTAATGTGATTGGCAAATGCTTGGAGTGTGTGTAGGGGGGCTGGCCCTGAAATAGAGTAAAAATGAGGGGGTGAGGAGATTGGTGCTACAGCCTGTTCCCCACCGGCCTCTACCTCCATTGGTGCTGTGGATTTCAGTCTCTCCCCCTCCATGGCTATTAGGACATTTGGGGCAGAGACCAGGATAGAGTGCTGGTGGGGAGAGAGTCCCGGGACCAGGGAGTGCTGGGGGGGCACTTTGCATAAAAGGTCGCCTATCTGTATGTCTGTTTGCAGTGGGCTGGGGTGAGGTAAGCTCTCCCCAGCAGGTTTGGGGCTTCACATTGGCTTTATAACTGAGGGAGCCGCAGAGGGGCCAGGTTCCAGTGAGGGGCCCATCAAGGTCCCATCCACCCACCTCAGCCCCCAGCAACCCTGAGGCAGAGGCACCCCTCCACAGGGTGGCATCCCTGGCACAACAGGGCCCTGCAGGGACCAAGGAAGGGGGGGCCTCCGGCAGGACTGACCTGGCCAAGTTCCTCAGGGTGGGGGATGACTTGGCCTAGGAGGGTGTCAGCCACGGGATGGCAGGCACGTGGGTATGTGTGTCAGGGTCTGTTCCTGCCCTGGGCTCTCAGCCCCTTCCCGGGACCTTCTCTGCACAGAGTCCCACTCAGAGCTCCTCCAGGGGATGGGGGTTTAAGCCAATTCTCTGTCCTCAGGACAGGGTGTCCCCTCTGCAGTTGGACACTGGGGGGCCATCCTATGCACTGCATGGTGTTGCCAGTCATGACAAACAGTTGTCCCCAGATATCACTCAGTGTCCCCTGGGGGCAGGATCACCCCATTGAGAACCACTTCCCTGAGGTTGTTTTTGGCCTTGAAGTTTTCAGGAAGGTGGAGTGCTGAGTGCTAGGTGTCCCTGCGGCTGGTTTTAGGTGATAAGTAGGCAGGCATTCTTACTTGAGCAGTTATGTGCTTCACTCTAATGCATATCAGGAAATTTAGGTTTTCCTATCGACACTGATGCCATAAAGTTTTCTCTTCAAACGAATTTAGTTAAAATAAATAAAATAAGTGAGACTTGTAAGGAAAACTAATAAATGCATGTGCAATCATCTGGGGGGGAGTGTTCTTTGGAACAAGCCCCCCATCCCCATCACGAGGGTAGAAGGAATGGCTTCAGAAGAGACCTGTGAGGGACCCACAGTGGACACAGCCTGGGTTTCCAGGCACATCAACCTGGCCTGGAACCCTCCTGGGGTGCCTGGTTCTAAGGGTTCCCAGAGATGCAGGACTTTCAGTGCTAAAACTGGAAAAGTCCCCTGCGAATCAAGACAAGGTGGTCACCCTACTAGTGGCCTGGATGGGATCTTCAGGTCAGAGGAAAGAGCCAAAGAGGCCTTTACTGAAATAAATACCAGGGATGAGCCCCAGGCCCAGAGTGCGTGGGTCCTCCCGGCCTTGCTGCTGGTGGCTTTGCTGCCATCCATCTGTCTGTCTCGTCCATCCACCTGTTCATTCGCTTAGTGCTTTCTTCCCTGTGTCTTGCTCTGTGCTGGGTCTTGAGGCCACAGAAGTGAAGAAGGGCCTCGGTGACCGCTATGCCGGGTGATTTCTGTTCACAGGAAGGCTGTGTTTAGAAAGGGCAGCTGCTGAGTGGACTGGCCAGTCAGGAGGCTCCCGGGTTGGGGCACAAGAAGTAGTGAGAAGCAGACTGGGACCCCAAACCTGGGCGGGGCAGAGCTTGTAGGACGGACATGCTGTCCAGCCTGGTCTGTGGCAGAGGGTTGGGGGCTTTCGAGCACACCCCACTCCACAGGACCCCTGCAGAAAACTTGGAGGGCAATGGGGCTGTCCGGGCTGTGTGGTGAGTGAGGGCTCTGGACACCCACATTCCTTGTCCTATAGCCTTTTCCCGATGACCAAATACGGCAAGAAAGGCTGTGGGGCCCTCACTTCACCTATGCCCTGTGTGTTCCCTGCAAATGCTGGCCTGTGGCTGACGCTCCTTCCCAGAATCACACCAGTGCCCCAAACTGATCTTCCCTCCTTTTCTTCATCCCTCCCCTCCTCCTTCCTTTTCTTTTTATTGAGGTGAAAGTCACATAACATAAAATTAACCATTTTTAAGTCAACAGCTCAGTGGCATTTAGTTCTTTCACAATGTTGTGCAACCACCACTTCTATCCAGTTCTAGGACATTCTCATCACCCCAAAAGAAGAAGCCCTGTCCCCATCAGCAGTCACTCCCCACCCTCCTCTCCCAGCCCCTGGCAACCATGAACCCACTTTCTGTCTCTGTGGATGTGCCTGTTCTGGACACTTCACATAAATGGAATCACACACTGTGTGGCCTTGTGTGTCTGGCTTCTCTCACTGAGCACCGTGTGTTCGAGGTCCATCCACGTTGAGGTGAGTGTCAGCGCCTCCCTCCTTTTCATGGCCAAGTGACACTCCAGTGTGTGGATGGACCACACTGTGTTTATCCCTCACCCGTCCATGGACACTTGGGTTGCTTCTACCTTTTGGCTGTTGTGAGTCATACTGCTATGAACATTCATGTACAAGTTTTTGTTTGGACACCTGTTTTCAATTCTTTGGGGATATTCCTAGGAGTGAAATTTCTGGGTTATATGGTAATTGGTTCTTTCTTTTGTTTTTTTCTCTATAATTTCTGAATGCTCACTGGCTTTGCCCAAATTTGTCTGGACTGTGGGCTTTCATGCTGTTCTGGATTGAGCAGGGTGGGAGCAGCAGCTCCACAGCTGGCCGTGGGGCATTACCTCAGGTCAAGGGGAATCTGTCCTACCCCCCATCCCTAGGGCTCTGGTTTCACCGGACCTTCCAGACACCCTTGGGCAAAGAGAACAGAGTCTAGGGAGAACCAGGTTCAAGTGCCAGCTCTGCTAAGCCACTGGCCATTGCTGAGCCTGAGTCTCCCTGTCCTTGAAAGGGATGTAAATGATAAGCTTTTTCTTGAGGGTTTTGGGGAAGGCTCAGGGAAATGTGGTTCCTGGGATAGGAAGGGTGTCCTTCATGAGCATCCTGGGTCACGAGAGCTTCCCAGTAACCCTACCGAGTCGGTATCAGCTCCAACCACAGAGAAGGGACATGGTAGGGATGGGGCTCAGCCAACAGCTGGGTACCCTTCAGGCTTGGCTGACTTCCCAGCCCCTACTCTGGGCCATCTGTTGAAAGCTAGAAGGAAATTTCCCCTCTGGAGAAACTGGCCCCAAGGACCCCCAAGCAGCCCCTGAGGTCATGTCAGTAGGGGTCCAATAGGTAGAGACCAGTGCTCTTAGTGCCACCCAGAGGCCACCAATGATCCAAGGAGAGTGGACAGGAGAGTTCCTTTCAGCTCCTCAAACACAACAGGCTGGACCTCACTGGTTAAAAAAACCAAACCGGACCGGGTTTAATACTTAAATTAAGCTGTTGTGAGGTTACAGAGGCATCATGGGGAGGGGATCCCGGGGCCCTGAGATCCTGAGTTGTGAATGGGGCCTCCACTCTTGTATGTACAGATGTCCCCAAAGGGAAATGGTCACGCCGCCAGCCTGGCCATTTTGTGATCAATATCATATGTGGGTCCCTGCAGTCCAGGGCTGGGCCCCTCCTCCCCCAGCCACACCTAGGAGCAGTTCAGAAACGAGTTCTGAATGTCTTCCAGGACCTGGAGGAAGAGCTCCTCACGGGACTTCATGCCATCCAGGTACACTGAAATCAGAAAGGCCATGGTCACGTCCCTTCCCCTCTCCCTCATCCCCACCCCAATCCCATCTAGCAACCATCAGTGTTTCCTCTGTGTCTCTGAGACTCTTTCTATTTACATTACTCGTTTACTCAGTTCTTTAGATTCCACATGTAAGTGAGATCATATGGTATTTGTCTTTCTCTGACTGAGTTATTTCACTTAGCATAATGTTCTCCTCAGGGATAGAAAAGACAGTTTGGGGAATATAATCAATAATGTAAATATCTTTTAGGGGGCCAGATGGTCTCATGTCTTGTTAGGGATACCACTTCATGGACGGTGTAGAGGCCTGACCACTGCGCTGTACATCTGAAGAGCTGCTGTTGAATAATATTACGTTCAACTATAATTTATATATACTTATAGTCACGGGACGTGGAGTAGAGAGTGGGAATGGAGTTAATGGAATTGTAATAGATATGTATGATATCGGGGGTGGAGGGAACAGTGGAGGGGGGAGGGGGGTTGTCACTTTGTGAGGGGTGAAAAGGATAACTATTGCATTGTTTTGTACATCTGAAACTAATAATAATAATAATTTTTAAAAATGTAAAAAAAAAAAAAGAAAGGCCATGGTCAAGGGTGAAATGGCTGGGCCACCGGGGCTGCCACCAGGAGGCAGACAGCCAACTTACAGGGAGACGGGCAGACTGCTGGGTCAGGAGGAAATTGACCTACAGAGTCAGGTTACTGGAATAGAATGGCCTCTAGGGCCAAAAGCAAGAGGGACTGGTGGTGCGACTTGAGGAGGGACTTCTGGGTTTCCCAAATGGTCCCGATGCGGAGAGGCTGGGCTCAGAGTCTCCCAGGGCCAGGCCTCATCCTACTCAGGGGCTTACCCACTTCCACGCCATCGGCCTCCAGCTCCTGCTTATACTTCTGGTACATGGGCCACACGTGACCATCAAAGAGGCCTGGGGGATCGGGGACCTCGTAGCTTCGAGTACTAGGGAGGGAGATGGACAAGAATGAGTGAAACCCATGTTGCCCAAGGGTGGTGCCATGACCAGAGCCTTGGGGATCTGGACTAGGTCAGAGATAGCACCAGAGAGAAAGGGGACCTCACTGAGTCAGGGGCCCCAGGCTGGGGTCTGGGTGCCCTAGCTTCTGGCATTTTTACCCTATGGGCCTGGGAAGGTATGGATAGGCCATGCCTCTAGGCCCCAAGTTGGTGCTTCTGGAACAGAGCGCCAGCCAGTAGGTGCCTACTGGCTGCTAGCCTGTGGCTTCTGGGCATCATCAGTTTCCTGGTCCCATCTGGGAATCCAGACAGGGCCTCTAGGCTCACCTCCTTCTCCACTTGCACTCTTCATAGGGGACGGCCAAGAAGTACCGTCGGCTGTACAAGTCCACCAGGGGCCTGGTGGGGATGGGGGACATGGTCAGTGCCACGGGCCTTCTTTTACTGGGGGTCACAGTACACAGCTGTACAGCATTCCAGGGTGATGAGGGCTGGGGTGGGAGGGTCTGGGCCAGTTAGTCTAGGGGTCAGGGAAGGAACATGCATTGGCCAATCTCCTGCTATGCCCAGGGACATCCCCACAGCATCCCCCAATTTGGACAGTCCCAGAGAGGTAGGATATCTTGCCAAGGGTCACACAGTGAGGCCTGGGGTCTAGCCCAGCCTCCTACTTTGCCTTAGGGAGGATGAGGTTCTGGAAGGAGGACTCAGTTTCCCCAAGAAGCGGGGTTGTTGCCCCAGACCCTTGAGCTGAGTCCAGCTCTGCCCCCCAACTCCTAAATAGAGACTTGGTGACCCTTGGGAGAGCCAGGATTGTCTGGGATGCAAACCCACAGCTGCTCACTTGTAGTTGTATAGCAGAAAGCCTTCCAGAATGAGGATGTGGGTATCTGAGGTGTCCAGCTGGACGTTGACCCCATGGGCATGTGCGAACTTCTGGGGGTTGCTCACCCAGGCCTTCACGGTGCTCAGCATGGCCTCCATGTCCAGGGACTCCAGCACTGGGGACAGGGAGAGTGGGTGTCAGCAGGGCCATGGGAGGGGGGGGGCAGTGTGGGCAGGGGTTGTGGGGCCACCGGCCATCCTTACCATCCCACTGCTTGAAGCCGTCCTCCCCAACTGCGATTTGGTCTTGGGGCTGAAATAGAGGATCCCGAACCCCAGGCTCAGTGCCTGCATTCCCACGTTACTGCCACCCTGGAATGACAGACCCTCGGTGGGCCCCTGGGTGCCTGGAGAGCCCACAGATAGGGGCAGAGTTGTTTGCCCCATCCCTCTGCAGTTGATGCTTATAGGTTCCAAGGTGCCAGGCAGTGTGGGGGCTCCAGGTGGGCACCGAAACACTCCCCTCCCCTGCTCTGTGATTCTTGGGACAGGACTTCACATCTATTAGCTTGTTACCCCTCACCCACCACAAAGCATGGAGGGCTGGCTCAGAGCCCAGATTGCAGATAGGAAAGTGGAGGTACAGAGGGAGAAAGGGCCCAGAAGGCCCCAGTGGCGTTGGCTTGGTGGCACACCCACTCTGGGAACCAGTATCCCCATCAGTCCAATGGGGAACAGGTGTCCAGTGAGAATGTGCCAGGTACTCAGTACATGAGAATGCCCATCCCTCATTCTCCTGGCCCAGGGCGACCCGGGAAGGGCCTGCGCCTGGCCTGCACGGGCTGTGGGCAGCAGAGGGCAGGGTGGCCTGGGGCGGTTCCTCCGATCTCTAGGCGAGGGTGGCCACCTTGAAAAAGTCATCCTGGTGGATCACGCAGCAGTTGGGCAGCACCTTGAGCAGGCTGTTGGTCAGTGTGGTCTTGCCACCGTTGGTCACGCTGTGGAGACAGTGTGCACGTGACGTTGCTTGGCCGGGCCTGAGAGGCCCCTGGAATCAGACTCAAATATAAAACACAGAACCGTAAACCATAGAGCTAAGAGAATATTGTTATTGGACTAGGCTCAGAAGAGGCTTTCTAAGCAGAGACAAAGGGCAGGAAGTATGAAAACAGGCAAAAGCAGCTCACACACGGCCTTGGCCGGCACAGGGCCATCCTAGGGCTTAGAATCATCTCAGTGTCACTGCAAACCCAGGAGCTGGGGCCAGAAGCTCAGTTTTACAGAAAAGTGGGACTCAAGCATGATTTAGCTGTAGTAGCACTTTTTTTTTTTTCCAAAGGCCACAATGTTAAAACAAGTGCAAACTGGGGGAGAAAAACTATTTGCTATAGAAAAGCCAGCAATTCATTTTAAAACGGAAAGAGGCACTCAAGTCTATGAAACGGTTGTAATCCAGAAAAGACCAAAAACAAAAAAAAACAGGAAAAGGAAAAAAAGAAACTGGCAAAGTTGGGTGACCAACTCGCCCGGGTTTGCCGAGGATGTCTCTGTTTTTTGCACCGAAAGTCTCAAATCCCTGGGACACTTCAGTGCCAAGAAAACCAGGACGGGTGGTGGGCCTGGGGCAGAGGGAACAACACTCCGGACTGCTGGAACTGAGGAAGGACATGGAAGGGTAACTGCCAGGCCTTTCTGGAAATGAGTGCCCTCTAACCTTGTCCCTGTTCCAGGAATCAGGGGCAGAAAGCTGGGTGTGGAACAGGGGAAAGCTGCAGCCGATGAAAAGGGCCCATGGGAAAGGGGACCCCCATACATTGAGGGGGAGCAGGTTAGAACACCCCGATGTTAATTTAGGTTATTACTAAAAGGCGTATCTTGTGCTCAACATGGCTATAGAATTTGCAGGGCCCTGCACATAAGGAAAGGTTGGAGCTCTTCTTTAAATTTATTGGGAATTTCAACTGGATACCAGCAGAGCATTAAACCAAGCAGGGGAAGGGGCCCAGGGCAACTCCCCTGGGTGGGATACTCCTGTCCCCAAGCCTGCCCTCCTTAGATGAAAGGTTTCCTCAGCGTTATCTTAAAAGACCTGGTTATTGGTAATAAAATGAAGACTTTGAATCCCAGGAGAAGGGAGGCCCCTGTCAGGCAGGTGCTATACATAGTCACACAGAATGTGATTCTGGGGGTCCCCACCCTACCCACCCACGTGTCTGCCTTGGGGTAGGGTGTCCCCCGCCCTCAAGGACTGGCCCCAGCCTGATAGGAGAATCTGCCTGAGCTTTATTAAGTCTTCTGTCCCCACTGATTTTTGGTTTTACATGGGGTATAGTGGGGGAAAGCGATTTCCATTTGGAAATTTAAAATTGGGCTCCGCATCCTACCTGCTATCCCTGCTGGGGGTGCCCAGCAGAGACCCCTCCCCATACTCTGGCCTTGGGCGGGGGGGAGAAGGGAGGACCTGCGACCCCAGGCACCAGGCAGCCCTCCATTCATTCCTCGGCCTCTCCTGGGTGCTCCCCTGCACCTTTGACCCCGTGGGGCCACTCACCCTCCGATGCCCACGATGTACTTCATCTCTGCGTGGAGGGGTAGCAGGGACTGCACTGGGCCTGCCTACACCCGGGTACCCCGCTGGGTCTGACCCCGCAGTTAGCTGCGTCCCAGCTTCATTGAGAAAACCTGGCACTTTTATAGACCCCGGCAGCCCGGAGGCCACCCCGGGGGAGGCAGCCCTCGGCCTATGGGCAGCGCAGTCCCTAGTGTGGGGGCATGGGGGCCCAGAACCTGTCCCCATCAGATGGAAATAGCTCCACGTTGCCTTTTGCCTAAATTAGTCACGGGCCAGCAGGGTGGGGGGGTGCGGGTAGATGTCACCCCAGCTGCCTCTTCCCCCCTCCTCCTCCCCCCTCCTAGCCAGGCTGCCCATGAGGCAGATGGTACCACACATCTTCCCTCCCTAAAAATATCATGCCCACAGTGTCCCCTGGCCTGACCCTGACATTAAGACTGGTTCTGGTGGGGCTGAAGAAAGGGGACTCACCTCCCACCGCATCACAAGCTACAGCAGCAGTGCCAGCCCCTACCCATAACCGGGAGCTTCCCTTTTCGAGGAGGCTGCAGCCAAGATGGAATTAAGGTCTAGAACGGTGAGTGCCAAAATAGCTGTGCTCTGGTGACCCGGGCCCTGCCAGAAAATCTCAACGTGACACCAGGGGCCGTTCATTGAGTGCCCACGTGAGGCCTGAAGGAGTCACCAAGTTTGGCCTTGTGCCTCTCTGCAGCCTGGGGTGGGGTATAACCATGCTGGTGGTCCCTAATCTGGGACCCCTGGGAGCTGAGGGACGCACTCACTCAACGAACAGCTGCTTACTGGCGGAGCTGAGACACACATCTTGGACTGGAGGCTCCACCCGACTCTATGAGGGGAACGGCCCCTCAACAGTCCTGTGTGACCCTGGCTGAGCCGTGTGACGTCTCTGTTCCTCAGTCTCCCCCTCAGTAACATGGGGACTATATAGTTGGGCACAGGCTATTATTATTATTATAATTGTGATATTGTGATTTATAACAAATATATATTTGGTCTTAGTCCTAGTTCTCGGCACACAGCTCCTAAAACCATTTCCTAAGTGGTAAAAGGGAGTATGTATCTTTTGTTATAATATTTGGTCCCTGAAAACTCCAGAGTGATAAAGGTGAAAGAAACATCTTTCGCTATTTGTAACAAGCCCATTGAACCACACCTGAGTTTATACTAATAGGGTGACTTTGGAAAGTCCCTCTAAGCACAGGATTGGCGCTGGTGGCCAGGGGAACTAGCGTGGGGTTAGCAGATGGAGCTTTCAGAGGAGAGGAGCTGGGGGTTGGATTGGGTCAATCGATTTAACCCATCGCGCCCCTGTTATGAAGCCTCCACAAACATCCCTAAAAGAAGGGGTCTGGATTGCTTCTGGGTGCATGAGCATGTCCACACGCTGAGTGGGTGGTTACCCAGGGGGGGCATGGAAGCTCTGAGCCCCTTCCCCACACCTTGCTCTACGCACCTCTGCATCTCTTCCATCTGGCTGTTCCTGAGTTTGTAACCTTTATAAAAAACTGGACATCTAGTAAGTAAGCTGTTTTCCTGAGTTCTGTGAGCTGCTATATAAATTATCAAAAGTGAAGTGTGTGTGTGTGTGTGTGTGTGTGTGTGTGTGTGTGTGTGTAACCCCCAATTTGTAGTCAAGTGGGACAAAATTGTGGGTATCCTGGGGACCCACTACTTTTGACATGTGTCTGATGTGGGGACAATCTTCTGGGGCTGACCCTTTAACCTGTGGGGTCTGTGCTAACTCCAGGTAGGGCGTCAGAACTGAGTTAAATCGTAGGACACCCAGCTGGTGTCTGCAGAGAATTGGAGAATTGTTTGGTGTGGGGAAAAGCGCCCCCACATTTGGTGTCAGAAGTGTTGGCATGAATGTAGAGAGTAAATAGAACTTTCACTTTCAATAGTACTAATAATAATGATAATAATATATTTATAACAATACCATAATGATTAAAATGATATACAATTATATATATAATAATTAATAATATTATTATTAACTGCCAACCTGGTTTGATTCCAGAAAGGGTTGGGGCAGGAAATGAACTGGAATCACAGAGAGGCAGAGTCGAAAGGGACCTTGGGAATAACTCAGAGGCCCCTCATTCTACAGACGGAGACGGAAGGAAGAGAAGACAGGCGGTGGCCCAAGGCCACTCAAGTTCACCCAAGACACTGAGCTGTGCCCCTCTCGCCCCGTTAAGGCTCTTTCCTCTGAACCATGCCCAAAAGTGGCGAGCACCGCAGCACTTGAAAGATGGACAAAAGTAACAAACCTCTGTTCTCAGTTATAGTTTATTTCACATAAAAATCCCCCAAAGTTTATGGAACTGATGTCTTCACATCACAACAGTTATCATAATGAATTGTTTTTGTCTTTAAAAACCGCAAAACTTGCTGTCGGAAGGATGAGCCTGTGAACTGTGACTTTGAGGCAGGACTTATGAGGCTCCCATGTATCATAAGATGAAAACACCAACGTCCCTTTAGGACGAGGGCTTGGAGTCCATTGCATTTTAGCCAAGTCTGCCCCACAGATACAAATCTTTCACAAAGCCTATTTCACAGGGTGTGGGTAGCAGCCAGCCTGGACACCGTAGCAGACCAACTCATATCTGTGACAGGTGGCCAGCCTGGAGGCGGTCTCCCCAGGGGTCTCGCTTAGATTTGGAAGGGCTGCTGTGGCTGAATTGGGGTCCTTGGTTCTGCTTCCCGGTTGTCTGTGGTGCTGGTGGTCGGGGGGAGGGGTGGCGGTGGGCCATGGTGAACCTGCTGGAATTTGTGTGCCCAGAATCTTTAGTTTGCAGAGTCCTTGAGGGCTGGACGGGGTCTGCCCCTTTGTCTGTCTGTCACCTCTGCATGCAGGTACTCAGTAATTGTCAGATTGGGTAGAATGAATCAGTTCCCATCTCTGGCTCCTCTTTTTCTTGCAGCGAGGCACTGGCCTTCCAGGAGCTATTGCATTTCCTGGGGTGGGAGTTGGGGGCTCTTGGGACCATGTGTTGGTCTCAGATGAGCAGCGCTGGCCACCTGAACCTGGAGTTTAAGGTCCAGGATGGAGAGCAGCCTTTTGGAGGGCAGCCTGGAGAGGCCCATCCACCAGTCGCTGTTGTCTCAGGCTCTAGGTGACTCACCTTGGCCTGGAACAGGGTCCCTGTCCTTTATTTGACATTTAGGAAACACCAGAACCACAGATTAAAGAAACCCCAGCAAGCCCTCTAGTGTCTATGCCTCACAGGGGCAGTGCTGGGTCCCAGAAGATGCAGGCCCAAAGCCACTCAGAAGCCCGGCAGTTTTCAAGGTGGGAGCTGCTGGGGGTGGGGCATTCCCTCCATGCACAGGACCCTCTCTTACTCAGTAAAGCATCAGGCATCCCTTTCTCAGCACTAACACCACTAGCTCCTTCCTGTTGTTAGGATAGCTCCAAACGCAACCCCTTGCCATCCCAGATCAAGAAGCATTTGGCATTTCTGCTGAGGCCAAGAACCTCATACTTGAAAATTGAAGGGCAGGTCAACCAAACTTCATGAAGAAGCCAGCTACAGAGCCAGTAAGAGGTTGCCCGGAGAGTGTACCCACTCAACTTTTGTCTTTTCATAGAAATAGAGACTCTTAGGATTGGAGGGGACACAGAGACTACTTTCTGCAAGCACCGTCCAGCCTTTTCTTAAATACCTCTGGAGACGGGGAACTCACTGCCTCTAGAGGCAATCTGACTGGTGTTTGGGCCACATTAGAAAAATCTGTCTTTTGTCAAGTGACATTTGCCTCCTTTGAACACAGATGGCCATAGCATCCAGTCCACTGGGATGTATTTTCCCAGGTGACCTTTGAAACACTCCAACAAACATCCGATACCCTGCTTCTTCCTTTTTCTTGGTCTGTGTTTCCAGGATGAGCGTATTTCAGAGCTGGCTTCTCAGTCTCCGTTCTTGGTGGGAACCTGAGGGGCACATTCCAACCTTGCGTTGGGGGGATTGGAGAAGTGGGAGCAGCTCATTCCCCTTAGTAGGAGGTATTGATCAGGTTGCCCTGTGGCATGGCATCCACGTTAAGGGGCTTGAGAATGTTCTAGATTGAGGGGCTGTGGGTGGTTTTGCGACTGGAGGGCAAGGATGATTAGTGGCGGCTCTCACTTATGTTGTGGGCTCCAGTGCTCTCAAAGGAGGTGGGCGTCGTAAGAGATGAAAGGGGCCAGTCAAATGAAAAGCCATGAGGTTGAAGATGCCCAGGCATGGCCCCGCTGGGGGTGCTGAGCTTCCCGGCCAGATGTCCAGGGTTGTGGGGGCTGTTTTGGGAGGAAAGGCACAAGAACGAATTCCAGACCCGGCTAGGAAGCCAGTGGGCATCTGTGGCTCCAACCTGGGCCAGGTGACAAGCAAGAGAAGGGTTTTGAACCAGGACTTTGTGCAGTGGGAGGGGCCTCTGAGGCCACCAAGGACACATGGGCCGTGCCCTGTGCTTCTCTTCCTTCTTGGCTGTGAGCTCATGAGTGTGGAAGGGTTGGAGGGCTGAGAACCAGGTCCTTTTCCAGAATGCACTACTACAGCATCGTTTACAAAAAATGTTTTCAAGCAGCTAAGAAGGATGCTGGGTTTCAGAGATGGGTGGAGGAGGCAGGCACTCTCCGAAGACTGAGATTCAGGATGAGGTGGGGATGAGATCTAGGGCCAGAGGGTGTCTGACAGAGGTTTCTTGGTATGTGGAATTTTCTTTCATGTTCATCACCTCAGGACATGCTGGAGAGGGAAAAACAGGCCAAATTATTAGTATTGTTTTTTTGTTTTGTTTTGTTTTGTTTTTAGCTGAGCCATCCTGCTACCTGTTGGCAGCTCAGCGGCTGCTCAGCTCGGGCTGGACTCGAACTGCCATGTGCGTGGAATCCAAAAGAATGATCTAATCCGGCTTTGGTGCACCCTCAGCAGCAAGGGTAGCACCTGCCCGTTAAAGTCTACCACTTGTTACCCACCTTCCAGGTGTAGTTCTGAGGGGGACCTCTCTCTTGGTGCTCCAGCAGAACAGACCTCGGGGCTGATGCCTTCAATCAGACTGGAGGGCAGCTTCAACCCCCCCCCCCATCCATCCCTCTATCCATCCATGAATCCATCCATCTATCCATCCATGAACCCTTCCATCCTTCTATCCATCCAACCATCCATTCTCCATCCACTCACCCCACCACGGCCCCATCCATCCATCTATCCATCTATGAATCCCTCCATTTATCTTTCTATCTCTCCCTCCTTCCCTCCATTCACCTACCCATCCATCCCATCCATCCATCCATCCGTCCACCCATCCATCCATCCACCCATCCATCTATCCATCCACATACCCATCTATCCAACCACCCACTTGTCTGTCCATCCATCTAACTACCACTACCTACAATTCCTTCTTTTGTGTCTTTAATCATTTTGAACATGTTTATTTTATCATTTCTATCTGAGGATTTCCAGGAAGGGTCTAATTCTGCTGATTGTTGCATCTGCTGACTTTTTCTCATGGTGGATGATTTCCTCGTGTGTTTTATGTCTGTGGATGTGAACTCATCTCCAGAAAGCATGGACTGAGATGGTCTTTTCAAAAATGCATTGAGAACTTGCTTCCACTTAGTGTACCCAGGGCAGTACTGGCCATAAGACAATTTCTGGTGTTTATTTCTCGGCTTGGGGCTTCCTAGGTCACATTGATAGTATCAGGCATGTGGCCAGGCATGTAGGAGATCTGTAGGAGAGTGTGTGGTCAAGTTAACCCTGCACATTCCAAAGAAAGGTCTGGCTCTTGCCCAGCTCCTGGGCGGCCACTTCTGAGTCCTGGGAATGTCCTGCCTGATAAGAGTGTCTCTTTCCCTGGGACCTTGATTCCTGTCAGATAGTCTTTGCTAACAATGTGATTGAGGGTGGGGGGTATCAGCTTGACCTCTGGAGGGGCTGGAGACGAAGGTCAGCCATGTAGGCAGTCAGCGGTGCATATGTGATTGACCCCAGTTAATACCTGGGACACCAAGGCTCAAGTGAGGGTCCCTGGTTGGTGATACTTCCTGTGCGTTGCCCACATTGTTGCTGGGAGAATTAAGGGCTGTCCTATTGCTGATTTTCACCTGAATCCATCCTTCCACTGTCATAAATCATAACCATGACCATAGCAGCTTTTCTGAGTCTGTGAGTCCTTACAGCAAACCACTGAGCCCCATGGTGGTCTTCAAGACCCCCAACACACAAGGAGGCTTATCCTGGCATCCAGAACCAGGCAGAAACACCAAGACAGGCTGTGGGCTGACGGTGTGCCCTTTGGCTGCGCTATATCCTGGGCTGCCGGGGGCCTGGCTACAGGTGGGCATCTCAGTCAGGGCCACCATGTTGTTCCGCTCTGGGCCTCATGCCAATGATAACCCCTGGAGTTGTGCAAGGATGGGATGCTTGGCCACAGCAGAGGCCCTATTGTCATGGTAACTGCTGACTCCCAGACTCCCTAGGGCAGTTCCCCCCCACACCCTTACCAACAGCAATAAATTGTGGGGCACTTATCTCAGGGTGGGCTCCACTTAGAACATTTCAAAGAAAAGGCTCCAAGATCGCCCTGCTTCCTACCCACCTTGTTTCCTGATCTTCTGTGACTGGAGCAGACCTATGGAAGAGAGAGGGGGTCTTAGCATTATTTGCCTATTTTGGGGAGCCTTGGCATTTGGCTATGAGTCCCATGAGGGCTGACACAGCTTCATCTTCATCTGGTACAAGTATCAGTGCATGTCTGCTGTGTAACATTGAGTCAGGACAGGCAGTCATAAGGAGACTGGCCGAGGCCCTTCACTAAAGCAACACGAAGTCACTCATGTTGCCTAAAATCCACCAGGTCCAGGAGGCCAAACCCACCCATGGGGAATTGCACACAGTCACCTGCTAGGACCTTCACCTGAGAGCAAATTTTGGTCACTCAGTGGCATTAGCCGCCCGTGGTCCCTATGCTTGGCCTGTGCTAGATACAGGGAGAGAGACGGGGTGGTCCCAAGATGGAGCCACTACCCTTGGGGAACTTAGGGAAGAGAAGGAGGGCATTACAAAGGTCAAATGCAGGAGGCAGACACGACAGACAGGAAAGTTGGGAGGGCCTTCCAAAGGCAAGGGAGGGGGCCAGAGCCATGCTGTGTTTGTCTGCACACATCCCAGGGCGAGGCGCTAAAGGATTTTAAATAGACATTTGCTGGATTTAAAAAAAAAGAAAAAAAGGAGGGGGAGGGAGGGAATGGGAGCAACTGCTTAAAGGGCACAGGGTTTCCTTCTGGGCCAATGGGATGTTCTGGAACTAGACAGAGGTGCTGACATGGCAAATGCATTACATGCCACTGAATTGTGCACTTTAAAATGGTTCATTGCATGTTCTGTGAATTCCAGTAAAAAAAAAATGAGTGAGGAAAACCCAGGAGAAGGGGAGGGCCGGGAGGCACGCTGGCCATAGACAGCAATGCTGAGCCCCAAAATGTGGCAAGTGCAACTCTTACTGTTCAAATCATTTAAGTTTAAATAGTGGCCTCTACAAGTGTGCCCCATGTGGGACAGCTCAAGGTGGAGGGAAGAGAGACCCCTATGTTGAGCATTTATGATGGAGTAGGCATCATGCTGGCTGGTCCATACCTGTGTTTGCTTTTCATCCTGATCACATCAGGATCATGAAAACATGATAACGTTGTGAGCAATTTTATGAGACATTCCGGTGGGCTCAGCAGCCCCCCGTGAGTGTCTGCTCTCGCCTGTGGTCACCTTCATATTTACCTGTCCTCCACCAGTGCTGCCTCTGGCTTGTCTTCTGACCTGGGCAGGACGAACTCTGGCTGCGGCCTCGCGCTGGGGACAGAGAGAGGTGACTAGGGATGACAAGTTGGTGTGGACCAAGGGGCTCTGGGCTCCCACTGGCCTCTCTGGCCTGGGCCCACTGTGGCCTGAGGGCAGTTTGGAGGTGGTTTTGCTGCCCCCAGGAAGTGCTGGGCCCCAGAAGTGGAGAGAAATGATCACCCAGGGGTTTATGAAGATGAGGCAGCTGTGGGAAAGGGAGCATGAGTGGGGACAGGAGATGGGAAAAGATCCTGAGCCAGTCCTTGGGAGCACTTATCTCAGTTTATCACAGGAGAGGCATTTATGCACGTGCTCCATGGATGCTGCGCCCTCTGTGATTCCAGAAGGTAGGCATTCTGCTTGCATTGTTTATGTCTCTATTCCTGTTCATAGCTAAGGCTTGAGGGGGTGGGAGGAGTATAACTCAGAGAGAAGGAGAGGGAGAGGGAGAAGGAGAGGGAGACGGAGAGAAGATGGAGAAAAGGAAGGAAGGGAGGGACAGAAAAAGGAAAGACAGATAGCACTACTTCATACCCATTAGGATGGCTACTATCATAAAACAGAATGTTACAAATAACGACAAGGTTGTGGAGAAATAATTGGAACTGTTGTGCTTTGCTGGTGGGAAGGGGAAATGGTGCAGCCACTGTGGAACACAGTATGGTCCCACTCATAGGAGGTCCCAGAGGAGTCAGATTCATAGAGAAGGAAGTAGATGGTGGTGCCAGGGGCTGGGGGAGCGGAGGGGAGTGAGTGTTTAATGGGGACAGAGTGTCAGTTTGGGAAGATGAGAAAGTTCTGCAGATGGATGGTACAAATGGCTGCACAGCAGTGTGAATGTGCTTAATGCCACTGAGCTATACACTGAAAAATGGTTAAGATGGTACATATTACATTACGTGAATTTTACTACAAGTAACAATTAAGAAAAAAAAAAGACAGGATGGAATGAAAGAGGAAATGGAGGGAGGGAGAAAGGAAAGGAGGAAGGACGGAGAGAAGAGCTAGGCAGAGTGAGGAAAAATCCCCAAATGGCACGGATGGTGAACCCTGCCTGCCCTCCGGCCCCACCTTTCACCATGCCGCCCTTTGTCATCATTAGATGACAGTGTGTGAAGCCGCTATACTTTTGCTCATTATGTGCCTCATCTGCTGACATCACCTCACCCTGTCTCCAAGATGCACTTTCCTCACTGGGTGAGGTGTCCCTCTCCTTTGCCATTTAAAGAACACTCTGGACCAGGACTCTGTCTTAGTAGCCCTGTGTCGCTGGTTCTAGCACAGGGCCAGGCAATGATACATGCTTTCAGCTCACTGAAAGCCCCCACTCTCTCACAGATTTGCTGTGTGGCCTTGGGCAGGTGCCTTGCCCTCTCTGAGTCTCGGATTCCTGGACTGTGAGATGCTGTTAGGAATCCTGGGCCTGCCTAGCTCTTGGAAGGAATGTGAAAGTATCCAGGCCCTGGGATAAGGGTTGCATAACTGGGTGGGACCAGAAGAGTCCTGAAGGTCTGTGAGTGCTGTTCATGGTTATGATACTAATGAAAAATGAGCTCGAAGGTATTAGAGGGGTGTGTCTGGGTCTGTCGGGGTGAGTACAGAGCTTGTGTTCCCTCTGTGAAAGGAGAACTTAATGTTATCACGATTACCATGAGCCCACCATTTTTGCCAAGTGGACTACACTGTTTCTGATTTTTCACAATAACCCCCAAGGTCATTGTGAACTTTCTATTTGCCTAATGTCATTCTGTGACTGGAGAATCTAGATTCGAACCCAGCTCTGACTCCAAGCCCTCGAGAGAAGAGCAGGACCTTGAGCCATGTGTGAGCATGACATTGGTTCCTGCTGAGCGGAAGTCCCCAGCTTCCCCCCACATGCAACCCCCGATCTTCCCCCGCCATGGCCACTCTGCACCCACCTTTCTCTTCTGGCCTTGAGCCTTTCCTCTTCGTACCTAGAAGAGAGAAGTAACAGCATGTCAGACACAGCCCTCCTTTCCCAGTAGGTACATGGCCCCGGGAACTCCCTTCCCTTTGGGAACAGAGAAACAATCTCACTGTCATCTCTGAATACAGGCCAGGCTTTAGAGCAGGAAGTACAGCTGGAGCTGACAGTCTGCTGGCCTTTTCATGTCTCCTGCAGTTGCTTTGCAAGCCCCCTGGCCCAAGGCAGGGAATATCTGTTTTGTTGGTGTATTCCAGCACTAGGTGTAGATGCGACTCAGTAGACATTTTTTGTCTGATTCAGAATTGAAAGCTCATTGACGTGGGTTGTTCTACATGCCCCTCCATCAGTGCAAAGTGCTTCTGTAAAGGGCCAGATAGGAAATGTTTTCAGCTTTGCAGACCAGTGTTGGTCACACCAACTCAATTCAGTTGTAGCTTAAAAGCAGCCATAGATGACCCGCCCATGGATGGATGTGGCTGTGTGCCAATAAAACTTTATTTATAAAAACAAGCCATGGGTCATGGCTTGCTGGCCCCCGCCCTGCCCTAGGTGCCCAGCTGACTGTGTTCTCTAATGTCACCTGTGCTTGTTTCCCTCTGTTCTGCTGCTCTCCCACTCAACGTCTAGTTCCCAGGCAGCCTTATTTAGCTGAGTGGGTAGGTGAGGAGCCTGGGGGCTTTGGGGATTGAGGTGGGGAGTTCTCACAAGGCACGGGGACACTTACTGTAGCACGCAGTCTGGGATCTGCACATGTTCCATGGGGATGAGCTGCTCCAGATCTTCCAAGCTGTGCACATACTGGATCTTGTTGATGAACTTGACGCTGGTAGGAGGAGAAGGAGGGGAGGTTGCTCAGGGCCAGAAGGAGTGATGGCAGACAGGGATGCACACACATAACCCAATTCCAGGATGCCCCCAGAACCTTTGCTAAAAAGCTCCCTCCCGCCCAAGCCCAGCCTCCACCCTTTGCCCCTATTGGCGTGGACAGAGCAGAGCTCAGGGTCTACCCTTCTAAGAGGGGAAGGGTCCTGAGCCATGTGTCTGACCCTGATCCCTGCTAAGCTGAGGCACTTGTTTAAAGGAAACAGAGACGCAAGGGATTCTACTAGACTCTAAGCTGTCTCGCCATCCTCCCTCTCTGCAGTAGTTTCCCCTAGAATGCTTTCCTGGCACTCTCGTCACTGCCTGGGACAACACCAGTAGTAATTTGGGCACAAGAAAGGCACACGAGGCACTCTGATTCACTCTCCATTCTTTTGGGATGAATGGCTTATTCCTGTCCAAACTCATACTCAGGTTGTCTGGTACCACATGATGATTTGTCACCAGCACGTTGCCTTGAACTCACAGTTGTTTAAAAAATAATAATAATAACTTCAACCTAATTTTGGTGATATGTAAAATAAACTTTTTTATGGGAAAAGAAAATTTCTTAACAGTGAGAAATGTAAGGCTAAGAGAATATAACAGTCCAGCAAATAAGAAAATCATCAGGTAGCAGTAGAAAAAGGTAAGATAGAGCGAAACCTCTACAGGAGTGTGTCAAGAAGTTTACATCTATTTTTAGAGATTAGATGAAACTTTGGCTCAAGCTTTCTGGAATCCAGTGCAAAGGGAGACGCATGATGCTCAGCTCACAGTGTCTATGAGGGAAAAATAAAGCAGTTACTTAGCAGAGGCCAATGGTAACTGATTAAGGGATGACAGAGACCTTTCCCAAGGAGAGTCACCAAGTGGCCATGTGTACTGGAATAAGCAACTCCAATTGCTTTCATGCAGTGCAAGTTTACTTTTTTATGAAAAAAATTATTCTCGGAGCACGAGGTCTCCCTCCAGTTAGTGAACAGGCAGGGTGCGAAACTCAGGCAGATGGGCAGGAATTGTGCCCCGCCTGTCTCATCTGGGTTATTCACTCTGTACCTGAACATGTCCTGGTCCAGAGGGCTTTGGGTGGACAGATAGGATTTGTTAGGAAGGCTTTCTGTGGTGCCCAGAGCCAACACCTGCTGCTCTGAGCACTGATCTATAAATACAGGCAAAAGTCACATCCTGACCATGATGTGATCACACCCACCACACCCATGGTTGAAAATGATCCCCGAATCTCCTCTGTGACAATACTTTGTGTGTTTGTGGGCCCAGCTTTCTGTCTCCTGTTGAGGGGTGGGGGTTGTGGGGAGGAGGAATTCCAGACCAGGGCGAGGCACATTCCCGACATTTAGATCAGCATGGAACACACAGGGATTTCCCTGGAGTAACAATCACAGAACCTCAGGGCTGGATCGCAGCTCAGAATCCATCTCTACTTTCCTTGGCTTTTAAATGGATAAGCTAATTTCTCTCCCCTCTCCCCTTTTTTCTTTGAAAGCTCAAAATGAGACATGCAAGGGCCGGCCGAGTGGCATGATGGTTAAGAACTGGCTTGGGACGCCAGAGGGCCCCGGTTCGGATCCCACATATGAGGGCCAGTGACACTGCCCTCTACAGCTAAGATGCTGAACAACAGCTCGACCTGGAGCTGGGCTGCCCGTGAGTTGCCGGCGGTGGCGTAGGCTGCAGCCCCTGTGGCAGTGGGTTGCCATGGGCTACCGTATGTAGCCAGCAGCCAGCGTGAGCGGCCTGCAGCCGCAGTGAGCGGCTGTCCAGAAGCTGGCGACTGATCTGCCTCGCCCAGGAAGAGCGCAATGATGGTGCCAACTTGGGCCAGTGAAGCAACGTCCTCCACAACTAGACTGAAGAACAAAACCACAGCAACTTGTCTGTTCCCCTTCCCCCAATTCCCCAGTGCTGTTCCCATCCCCCCAATTCCCCAATAAAAATCTTAAAAAAAAAATGAGACATGCAAAATTCACCATGGGAAAAGCAACCCAAAGTGAGAGCATCATTGGCCTCGAATGATGGGGTATTGAAGACGGAGTGCAGTTCTGTTAGGCCAAAGTGCACATACTGGATTTTGCCTGGTGGATTCATCACCAGACAAATGATCCATAATTAGTGCATTAGTTACCTGATTTTGCTAGTCTTAGGAAACCTTGTGCACAGAGAGCCTGAAGTTGCTTCCTTTCAAATCATTCACACTGTGTCTTTTAAGGCCCCATCTCTTAAACTCATTACAGATTCTTAACTGGGATCTCCATTCAATTCAGTGTTTGGAGTGACATTAAATTAAATGTACGTTCAATTTTTATGTGATTGACTAGGGTGTTTAACATGCCTAATTTTGTTTTCCTTGATCTGTTTCTATGGAAGCTTCTATATTGTGCAGTAAAGAGAGAACTCAGCAGGCTTGGAGTGCTCAAACCCTGCACATTGTAAAGAAAGAACTGGCTGTGGATTGGATACTCATGGGAAGCCACCTAGAATCTGAGAATTGCCTTGCCTGGTAAGAGTGTCTAAGGTTACTGGGGGCCTTGAGCCTGGCCACATAGTCTACACTAACAATGTCATTTATGGTGGGGGTCTTGGGCCACGTCATATCAGTTTGACCTCTTGAGTAGATGAAACTGAGTAACTAAAGTCAGCCACACGGTGCTCCATTCCTGCTGTGGCTAAGCCCCAGTGAAAACCCTGGACACAAGGTGACCTTCTTGGTTAATAATACTTGTACATGTTGTCACATGTCCTTGCTGGGAAAATTAAGGCCTTTTTTTTTTTTTTTAAAGATTTTATTGGGGAATTGGGGAAGGGGAACAGCAAAGCTGTTGTCCTTCAATCTTAGTTGTGGAGGACGCAGCTAGCTTAGCTCCAAGTCCAGTCTCCATCGCTCAGCTCAAGGTGCCAAGTTCAATCTTAGTTGCGGGTGGGCGTAGCCCACCACCCCATGCGGGAGTCGAACCAGAAACCTTGTTGTTAGGAGCACATGCTCTCACCAGCTGAGCCATCCTGCCACCTGTTGACAGCTCAGCAGCAGCTCAGTTTGGGTGCAGTTCGGGCGCAGCTCACTGGCCCATGTGGGAATCGAACCAGCAACTCTGTTACTCAGAGCTCACTCTGTTAACCAACTGAGCCACTCAGCCAGCCCGAAAATTAAGGGCTTTTGGTACAACTCCACTGGAAGGGACAACTGAGAGCTCTCTTATGGTGTCTCCTGGACTCCCTATGCAGCCTTTTCCTTTGATGATTTTAATCTTCATTCTTTCACTGTAATAAACTGTAACCATGAGTGTAACAGCTTTTCTGAGCTCTGTGAGTCCTTTTAGCAAATCATCGAACCTGAGGGTGAGTTCATGTGTTGGTTCATTGAATTATTGGCCAAGAGTAGGTTAGACCATCTTGGCATCCTAATCCCCGCCCCCTCTCACCCCACCTCAACCACTCCCCACACACAGATTTGAGAGTGAATGGAGCTGGGGAGTGTAGTAGGCTAGTGAACTTGCTGTGTGACTCTGAGTGAGTTCCTTGACCTTTCCGAGGCTGTTTCCTCATCCATGAAATGGGTGCAATCACACCAGCCCCCGCCCCCAGGTTTGTGGTGGTAAATGTTAAAAGGTGTCCAATATTCAATATGGGAGAGCTGGATGTTATTTTTCATGTGTTTGTCGCTTAATAACAGTACCTATGATTTAAAACTATTTAAAGAAATAATATATATTCAGCACAGAGAAGCTAGAAAATGCAGATTAAAAGAATAAAGACTCCCAGCAGCCCACGTGGGTATCCGGACACAGGTTGCAGTCTCACCTGATGAAAGGGCGGGAGATGGCGAGCACGGTGCGAATGAACCAGGACGGGTGGACGATGATTAAGGACTTCAGGTTTTTCCGCAGTCTGCGTGGGAAGACAGAGGAAGCAAAATGGACTCCTGGGGGCAACCCTGGGGAAGGAGGAGCTAACAGGTGTCGCCTCCTCTGTACTCCCTGTAGGTGCTATGATTTTACAGGGAGGAGGCGGAGTCTTTTACTCAAGCCGCTTGGCAGAGTTTGCAGTGTCAGAGCTGATGTCTAGGCCTGGCTCTCTCTTAAACTGGAGTCTGAGCTTTTGACTGCATGGCCACACCACCTCCCATTCCTGAAAGGTTTTCTGGGGCACCGTGGTTCTGACCACCTCTGTGGTCATGTTGAGTTGCATCCCCCCAAATTCATATGTTGAAGTCCTAGCCCCAGGATCTCAGAATGGGACATTATTTGGAAATCTGGGTCATTGAAGATGTGATGAGTTAAGGTGAGGTTGCAATAGAGCAGGGTGGGTCCCTAATCCAAGATGAGTGGTGTCCTTATAAAGAGGGGAAATTGGGACACAGACATGCACAGGGAGGTGCCATGTAGCAATAAAGGCAGAGATTGGGGCGATGCATCTACAAGCCAAGGGATGCCAAGGACGGCCAGTGACCACTGGAAGCTGGGAGAGACATGGAACAGATTCTCCCTCAGAAGGAACCAACCCTGCTGACATCTCAGCTTGGAGTTCCTTGCAGCCCAAGGCAGCACACAGCCCCACCCACTCACCTCCTATCGATCATCTGGTAACACTTCTTCAGCCAGCCGATGCCGGGCATCCTCCGCCGGGGGGTGGCACCATTCAGGTACACGATCATGTAATCCTCCGCCACCAGGAGTTCCAAACTGCTGATAACATACCTGGTCACAGGGCACAGAGGACAGGGGACCTGTGAGAAGATGCCCAGGGTTCGGAAGCCCCAAGTCTGGGACTGAACACCTACGGCACCTGCCCCCTTTGCTTCCTCCTGCCCCAGCTGTGCCAGCCACACCTGTTCATGCGTTATTGGTTGTCCCGGCACACTCAGGGTAAGGTGGATGTGAATGACCCAGCCCACCCCAAATTTTGTCCGTGGGTTCAGTGATCGGAGTAGTTACTCTTTAATTGAGCACTTACTATGTGCCAAGAGTTTTAATGCATGACCTCATTTAATATCTCCACTAACCCTGGGAGATGGGTTTCAAGAACCCCAGGTATACTTGGGGAAGAGGCACCCATAGCAGATGGTCCACTGCACCGGATATTAGGGACCTGGGGTCCATCCAGGCTCCATCTCTCCCTGAGTGATTTCAAAAAAATTATTTCCTCTCTCAGCCTCTATCTTCCCATCTGCTACTGGGGAGACTGGGCTCCCTGGTATCTCAGGCCACTCCCCGTTGTGACCTTCCATGGGTACTTCCTTGTCCTCTGGTCCACCTGGCACCCAAGCCCCACTGTATTAGAAGGAAATGTTCATAACGATAATGAGTAATCATGATTTACTGAGATCTTACCGTTATCTGCCAGGTGCTTTATATGTATTATCTGTCTCCTGTGGGTACCTGTGTGTCTTTGGGCAAGTGACTTAACTTCTCTGTGCCTCAAGCTCTGCACTTGTAGAATGAGAGGGGAGGGTGCCTCTCACTGTGGTGAGGGTGGAATGCATTATCATCTGCAAAGCACTTAGCCTTGTGGCTGCCATATAGTAAATGCTCACAAATGATAGTGACGATGGAGATAATTGCACCAGTGGAAAGCAGGGGACTCAGATCCAGCTCTGCTGGCAGCCTACCCTCTCCCTGGTGCCGGGCAGAGTCCCCACCCAATGTGGTTCTTGTAACCTGGTCTAGCCCACTGGCAGGGACTCTTGGAGGTGTCAGCAGCCAGGACGGAGCGGGCGGGCCACTTACAGGAAGAGATGCTCCATGATGTAGTGGTAGTCGGGTGAGCTGCTGTCCGGGAGGAAGCAGGCGGCAAAGACAATGATGGCGTTGAGACCTTCGCCGTAGTACCCTGGGAGAGGCGGCCAGTGAGTGGCCCCAGGCAGAGATGCAAAGCCCTCTCTGAGCTCTGAACTCTGAGCCACCCCATGCCCCTGGGGGAATGCCAGCCACCCTGTGTGCACCCTACACATCCTCGCCTCGCCCCCCTGCGAGTTTCACCTCTACCCACTCGGAGACAAGGGTTTAATATCCCATGGCTCGATGAAGAGGCTGAGGTTCAGAGAGGGCCACTGATGGGGCCCGAGGGTATGGTCTCACCTCCATGGGTCACCACCCTCATGTAAGGTCGAATCATGTGCAGGTCAATTCGGTGTTCCTGTTCTCCGATGATCACTGTCCGCCACAGGCGCCCGTTGGCGGTGCTGCTATCTTCGGCTGCTCCATCCCCAAATAGATCCGCACTGTCTCCAGGCATGTTCTTGGCAGCAGTCACGGGGGTGTCATCTGGAAGCAGGCCAGGGGTGAGCGGAAGATTCCTGAGTCCAGACATCTCATTCCAGCCTCCCTCTCCCAATTCCCTTTGCTGTCTGTGTCCACGGAGCCCACACCTCTCTTCCCAGGCCATGGTCAAAACCACTTCATTGACTGACAGTGTTAGCTTGGAGATGCTAGGGAAAATGGGAGACCTAGGAGTCAAGAAGTCACTCCCATTTTTTTTTTTTAAAGTCATGGAACACAGGAAAGTGCTCAAGGTGCATGTCAGGATGTCAACCTGGGTAGAGCTCATTTCTATGAAGGACTTGCTTTGTGATGTTGCACCCATTCTTTCCCTCTCTGGGCCTCTCAAGGTTCTTAACCTCTCTTAAAATAGCCACCTCTTTTCCACCTTTCATCCTGCAGTCTTCCTGCCTCAGGAAATGGCTCGGCCATATTTCCAGTGGCTCAGGCCCCCAAACCCAGGCATCATCATCAATTCCTTACCTTTATATTCCACACCCTTCCAGCAGACTATGGCTCTACTTCCATCCCCATGGCCACCACCATCACAGCCTTCCTGACCTGTGTTCTTGCCTCAGGATGTCAGCTCAAACAACACCCACCCAGTGAGGCCTGTCCTGACCATCCTTCAAGAGGACGCCCTGCCCCTCAGTTACTCCAGCTCAAGGTATCTCACTCTGATCATTTTTGACATTTGGGACTGGATCATCTCTGTGGGAAGCTGTCCTGGGCACTATGGGGTGCTGAGCAGCATGCCCGGTCTTTACCTCCAGTATTAACAACCACAGATATCCCTCCCTAGACATTGCCAAGTATCCCTTGGGGGGCAGAATACCCCCTCAGGTGAGACCCCCTGCCCTATGCCATCACCTCAGCTAATTTTCTCACAGCACCGATGGCCAGCTGCAATGATCTTGTGCACATGTGTTTCATTATGTTGCGTTTGTCTCTGACCACCATGCATGTGGGTGGGTACCATCTATTCCTGACATATTCCTTCTGTATCCCCACATCTCAGTTAAGACCTGCTCCCAACAAACACTTGTGGAATCAGTTAGAGGCACATCCTTTTGATCTTGGTCACCTTTAAGAATCTGATGGAAGCTGTGTTTCCCCCCACAAAATTCAAAAGTTTACAAGAATAATGAGGGTGGAGTCGCAGGAGTAGGGGGACTCTCCTGGGGCTGTTCTATGACCCCTGCCCCACCTGAGCGTGTGAGTATGGAGGGATGGTTCCAGCAAGCTGGCTGGGGAAGCCAGTAGGAGCGCTGAGTCTGATCTGGGGCCTGGCAGGTGCCGTGAGAGAGCCTCAAGCTCACCTTCCCACTCCAGCTCATTGCCGTTCCCCAGGAACTCCAGAGAGTCTGTCTCATCGGGGGTCTCAATGTCGTCCACGTTGATGTCCAGGTCATCAGGGGTGTCCAAGAAGTCGTCGGACAGCAGGGAGCCCTCGCTCTGATCCAGGGAAATGTTAATCTCTGGGGCGACCAGTGTCTTTCGTTTACGGTGGGCTCCGTTGAAGTTCAATGTGTTGGGAGGGGCTGTGGGGAAACAGGAAAACAACAAACAAAACAAAAACAGGTGCTTTTTCTTTCTTTTCCCTCCTCCACTTCCTGACCTAGTGGGAGCTGCACCCCATTGTGTGGTAGGCTCACCAACTATATTTAGTAGATGAGAAATTGGAGGCACAGAGAGGCTGAGCAACCAGCTAGCTCAAGGACATGCAGCAACACCTGACTTCATGACGGTGGCCACATATCTCTTGCCCACCATGGCCATTTTCTCTCCAGGCCTCAGAGCAGAACAACCCCCTTCCCTGACATTCCACCAAGGAGGCACACCCTCTAACATTTCTATGGTGACAGTCCCAGGCAGAACCGAGACCTGAAAACAGCACGCCCATTTTTGCACGCATGGAAACTTACAAGACGTGTCTTCCGTGGGGCTGCCAAGCGAGGCCATCCCAGTCTCGTCCAGGTGTGCCCTGCGGATCCAGCCGGGAGCGGACATCAACCACGGGGCAGAGCAAATCCAGCCACCGGAGCATGGAGTACAGACACAGCAACAACAACAAAACCGCTTTAGTTCTGGGGAATTGTTGGGACAAAATACATCTGTTCATACATCAGAAAATCATAGAATACCAGTGCTGGAGGGCTCCCTTCAGATCACCTAATGAGTATTGTCTTTTTTGTCTATTTGTTTTTGGTTGGAGAAAGCCAAAGCCGAGAGAGGGAGAGGGTCTCATCCAGTGTCACACAGTTTCACATATTCTGGGATATAAGCAGCACTCTTCCTGAGGTGACCCTGCAGGGTTTGATCCCTGATGAGTTGCTGCTATTAAATGTAGCAAGAAGTTATCCAGTGGCCAACACAGTCACCTGAATGAGCTCTCCACGGCCAACGCTGGGACAGTTTGAGCAACAACAATAACAAAAAAGTCAAGAGTATTGGGTTGTAAGCCAAAGTGTAAAATAAAATGTCCATGAGTCCATATAGGTGTAAATAAATGACAATAAATAAATAAAGAGAAGAGACAACTTTCTTGCACAGAAGAATGCCAAATCATATATGCAGATACTCTGCCCTCAGGAGATGGAAAATAATTCCCTACTCTTTAATGTGGACTGGACAGAGTGACTTCCTTCCAAATAGGACAGCATGGGAAGGGGGCAGAGAGTGACTTTACAGTGGAGAAACCTGACGAACACACTCAGCCAGGGGATCAAGGTCAACATCAACAGTGATAGGTCATGGTGACACAGATATGATGGGATGAGAAGAGCCCTGCGCTCTGAGGTCTTCCTCTCAGAGCCCATCACCCCTGTATAACCACGAGATACAGACCAGACAAACCCCAATTTAGGGACATTCTACAAAATCCCTGATCAGTCCTCCTCAAGACTTCCAAGATCGCTAAAAACAAGGAAAGTCTGAGAAACTGTCAGCCCAGAGGAGCCTAAGGACGTGGTGACTAAATGTCATATGGGATCCTGGATAGGGTCTTGGGGCAGAAAAAACGATATTAGGAGAAAAGGGCTATGGAAATCTGAATAAATTGTGGACTTTAGTTAATAATAATGTATCAATATTGGTCCATTAATTGTAACAAGTGTACCAGCCTAATATAAGAGAAACTGGGTATGGGGTATATGGAAACTTGCTGTGATATTCTTTCAACTTTTCTGTAAATACAAAACTTCTAAAAAATAATGTTGTTTTTTAAAATGCTACACCTTTAATGTTGTGCCCCTTTAATGCTGGTTGAGCACAAATTGGCAGAATAAGACCTGTTTCTCTGGTGATGCTCAGATCACTTTTTGGAACAAAAAGTTTGACCCACAGGCTCCGGTTGCTTTTGCTCCCCAGGGGGAAGGTTTTGCAGGGGTGCGCGGGGCGCTGACTCAGAGAAGTGCTACAGGTTAATTTATTTCTGCAACTCAGCAGTGTAGGCTCAGCTGAAAGGGGAGCTGTTTGGACTGGGAAGGACAGTAGGAAGCATTCTCCTTTTCTTTTCAAAAATGCTTTATTCCCTCACCCCTGTTCCTTGTAGGGGCTGAGCTGGCACCCTTTGCAAGGTGGAACCTACTATGCTTCTTCCTTTTCTTCCCTCCCACCTTTCTCCATTCATCAGGCATCGAATGCTCTTTGAGTAACCACTTTCCTCCAGGTACTTTGGTGGGTCTTAGAGGTAAAGGCTGAATCAGATGTTGCCTTGCTCTCATGGAGGTCAAAATAGAGCACAGGCGCAAAGGAAATGAAGATGTATGGCCACACAAGAACTCATACTTGAATGTTCGCAGCAGCATGATTCACAATAGCCAAAAAGTGGGAACAACCCAGATATATATCAATGGATGAATGGATAAAGTGAATGGAATATTACTCAGCCATGAAAAAGAGTGAGGCACTGACACTTGCTACAATGTGGATGAACCTCAAAAACATGATGCTGAGGGAGACAAGCCAGACACAAAAGGCCACACAGTGTGTGATGCCATTTATGTGAAATGTTATGTTCAGAACAGGCACATCCACAGACAGGAAGTGGGTTCGTGGTTGCCAGGGGCTGGGGTGAAGGGTTGGTGGGGGGTGGTGACTGCTAATGAGGACAGGGTTTCTTTTTGGTGTGATGGAATGTTCTGGAACTAGATAGAGGTGATGACTGCACAACATGTGAGTGCACCAAATGCCACTGAATCATGCATTTAAAAATGGTTACTTTTATGTTACATGAATTTCACCTCAATTTTTTTACAAAAAGGTAAGCTTCAAATAAAATCAGAAGAAAGTTTTAAAGAGGCAAAGGGTGCTCAGGAGTCAACTCACACACCAATTTCATGTATGCACTGCTCCGTCCCTCTTATCTATAGCTGCCACCCCTGCTCCCAACATGGGGAGCAAAGCTGATGGCTCATGATAAGTCTAGGGTCCTGGAGTACAGGAAGTATAATGCCTGTGTGCAAGGTTACCCCAAATTACAGACTGATGGCTGATGCACCACCCTACTTCTGTCCTGCCCACACAGCACTTAAAGACATTTTAAATTTGCTGTAAAGCCGGAGATGTGACACCAGGAGTCTAGCTTTCTGTTTTTCTCAAATCAGATGAGTCCTCCATGCATGGTAACCACCACCAGGAGCTGACTGCTCACCACTCCTGTTCACCTGGGTGTCAGAATTTCCTTCCAGCTCCTTCTCTCATGTACGCTGTCTGCTCGGCGCCCTTCAATAGCTGCAATTCCTGTTCTAGAATCATAACTTACCCCATGGACAGGGCACTCACTGTGTGCCGGATTGGAATGTCCACAGCATGACCTCATTTGCTCCTCACAGCAGCCCTATGAGGCAGGCAGAAGCCCATTTCACAGAGGAGAAAACGAGGCTGGCCTAGAGGACTGCCCCAGGGTTGAAATGACCAAGGTGGCACAGCAGATTCCAGTCATTGCCCTCTACTGCCCCCTTGTGCCCAGTTAGCACACATGCACCAATCCCAGTGGGGACAACAGGGAAGAAACCCACTGGCCTGGGAAGCACCTCTCCTTGGCCCAGCTAGCGGACCCCAGGGCGTCCTGTCCTGCCACCAGCTCCCCCAGCTAAAGGAAAACTGTGCAGCTGTGCAGCCAGTGCTGCCTTCGGTTTTCATCAGGATGTGAGTCAGCCTTCCAACCTTGGAGGGTCCATGTTGATCCTATGTTGGCCGCTAATCTAGAGGACTGTTGTTCGCTGCTGTCCAAATGTCAAGGTGAGGCAAATATCTAACTGCTCAGTGGCGCAAACTGGGAAACCGAGGAACGTGAGTTAAACAGTGTGGTGTCTGAGGGAGCCTGGGAGCAAACATCGCTCTGCGCTCTCCAACGCTATGTGTCTGGGTGGTACCCTTCCCTCTCTGAACCTCACTCAGTTTGCCTCATCAGTAAAATGGGAACAGAGCTAGTATCTACTTTTCATTCATTTCAGAAATACATTAAGTGTCTGGGCTCTGGGAAACGTCCAGGGCTGAATGAGACAGATAGTTATATACAGTTTGGAGGGGGCTCTGGGCAGCTTTCTGTCAGCATAGTCAGGCTCTAATACCCTGTTGTTCGATCAAACACTAGTCTAGGTGTTGCTGGGAACGTATGGGGTAGGTGTGGTTCACATCTACGAGCCCAGAACGTTAAATAAAAGAGATAATCCTCACCAATCTAGTGGACCTCATACAACTGAAAGGCCTCAAGGTTTTCCTCAGGAAGAAAGACTTCTGCCTCAAGACTGCGGCATCAACCCCAGCCTGAGTTTCCAGTATGCCCTATGGATTTTAGACCTGACAGTTCCTACAATTGGGTAAGGCAATTCCTTGGGCTAAATCATATATATGTAACATACCTAAAATATACAGTCATATAAACAAAATAATAGATTAAAACATAATATAATATACCTATACTATATATAAAATATACATAGTTATATGTACAATTGTATGCACATAAATAAATACAATACAATAAATATTAACAAATAATATTATATACAATGAAATAAATGTAATAATACAAATATATATATATATATCATATATATAATGAAAACCAAGTAATTCTGTCTTTGAAGAACCCTGACTGGTATGAGGAAAGGAAGGTAATAATCAAGTAAATAGATGAAGAAGGCAGATGGTGATACTTGCAAACAAAGAAAATAAGCAAGATAAAGGAGGAGGAGAGGGAGGATGCAATTATGGGGTAGTCAGGGAATGCCTCTTTGAGGAGGTGACTTTTGAGTGGAGACAAAAACAAGAGGTTGGCTTCATAGGAAGACTGGGGGAAGTCACAGCAGGCACAAAGGCCCTGAGGCCGAATAAGCTTGGTGAATTCTAGGAACAGATCAGAAAGTGGACCAAGGTGCCAGGAGCAAAGACAGCAATGGCGGAGGAGATGTGGATGGAGAATGTGAGTGGAGAGAGTGGCAGGGCCAGGGGAGGTGCTATCATGGGGGTGGGAGGAGGTTACGAAGCTGAGGCACCCGGCACAGCTCCCAAAATACAATGGATGTTCAATAAATGCTCTAGATTATGCTGGAGAACTGGAGAAGCTGACTCAGCGGGACTCCAGGCTCCTTGGAGAAAAGCCCACAGCTTCCTGACAAAAGCTGAGCAAATACCCACCCTGCCAGTCTGCAGGGCTGCAGCTTTCAAGACCAGGCGAGACCTTGTTATTTCTCCCAAGTCCCAGGAAAACTTCCAATTATGCAGAGCTGAACCCCCTCATGAACCCGAGGTGGCTCTCTGTAGAGCTTGCTCTCAGCAATGGGCAACCCATGAAAAAAATGGGGCTCCCCTTAATATGCAAGGTATACAGTGTGGCTTTATCTTTCTGTAGTGGGTTGAATTGTGTCCGTCCCAAAAGATAGTTCAGGTCCTAACCCAGTGCCTGGGAGTAGGACCTATTTGAAAATAGGATCTTTGCAGATGTAATTAGTTAAGATGAGACCCCGAATCCAATGAGTAGTGTGCTTATAAGAAGATGGAAACTTGGACAGAGATACTCAGAAAAGAAGGCCACCTGAAGATGGAGGCAGAAATTGCAGCGATGCATCTACAAAATGAGGGACGCCAAAGATTGCCAAGCTGGAAGAGGCAGGAAGGATTCTCCCTTAGAGCCTCCGCAGGGAGTATGGCTCTGGTGACACCTTGATTTTGGACTTCTAGCCTCCAGAACTGTGAAAGAATACATTTCTGTTGTTTCAAGCTGCCCAATTTGTGGTACTTTGCTATGGCAGCTCTTGGAAACTCATACACCCTCTCAGCATGAAATCCAAAACTTTTGTCTAGGCATCCCTCAGGATGTGGCGTCTGTGAACCCTCCAACCTCATACTTGTGACCTAGTTGAGTTCTCATACTGCATTCCCTACCATGCCAAGGTCTTCTTGGCACATTCCCTCTTCTCTGCCTAGAACACTGCTTCCTGCTTTTAGATATTTTGTTAACTTTGCAACTATAGCTGAATAAAAAATTACAAACAAAACTCACAGCCACTCCATTGTAAGAGGAAGAGCTGGCTGGTGCAACAGTCAGCCATGTAATCCGGCACCTGCCACTTCTTAGTTAGGAGACCCTGGCCGAGCCCTTCTGTTTCCTTGTTCTGTTTCCCCACTCAATCTTCCTTCAGTCCCTCCATCTGCTTCTGGTGGCCTCAGGGCCTTTGCACACCCTGTTGTCTCTTCATGGAATGCTCAGCCTCTACCCTCAGCCTCCTTCCCGTTCACCCTTCTTCATCCTTCACAGCTCGGGGTCAGCACCCCCCAACCTTCCCAACCCGGTCAGACCCCACCCTGGCACTCTTCAAGTGCCAAGAACCTACATACAATTTCACATTGAGTTGTGAGATTAAAGGAGACGGCCTATCTCTGCCCCCGACTGTGAGCACCCCATGAGAGTGGCTGTCTTGTTCTCCACGTGTCTCTAGCACTTGGCTCAGGGCCTGGCATACAGTCGGTGCCAATCATTAGAATCAATGGAGAAAACAAGGCAGTGAGATAAATAATCTCCAGGCTGCCCTCAGCTCAGTCTCCACAGGAACCTGCAGAAGGGCAGGAAGTGAAGGAAGACACTGCAAGATAATGGCAGCAGGAGGGGTTTGTGGGCACAGGGTGAGGCCTCCAAAACCCCCAGGGAAGCTCAAAGATGCCCCAGGGAAGGGCTTGCTGAGCTGGAAGGAATAGAATTGTGGGTTGTCTGGCACCAGACAGAGGTGCTTATGTTGAGATGCAGCTGGGGACGGCATCAAGAAGCTGCTCTCATTTCTTCCAGAATGAGGAAGACAGAAGCCTTGGCAAAGGCATGGCCCACGACCCGGGGCTGCACAGTGGGGCCACTATCCTGCAAACACTGAACTACTGAAACCGGAGAGGGGCTCTCTGCAGCTGGGGGAAACTCACTTGAAATTCATATTTGCAGCTGCAGTCTCCCCCGCACCCCCATTTTTGTCTCCACAAAGCTTGGGAGAGGAGCTATCTTTTAAAATACGGGGGGAGGGTGTTTGGAAAAAGGAACTGGAGTGAAAAAGATACACGTTAATGGGAACAATAATGAGGATGACAATTACTTTGGGCAGCTTTCATCAGTTAGATAGCCCGTCTTAGCGGTCTAGCCCCCATGCCTCATTGAATTCTCATGGCAGCTTTGTGAGCAAGGGATGATCATCCCTATTTTATAGATAGGAAAACTGAGGCACAAAGATGCTTGAAGAGTTGCCCAAGGTTACCAAGCAAGCCAATTGGGGTTTGAATTAGAAGGTTGTCAAAGTTCAGACCCATGAGTGCTTTGGTCTCAGCAGAGGCCAGAGTTGGTGGGACCAGAGAGTAAATGGTGCTAAGACTGGCTGGAGACCCCTCTGAAACCTGGGCATTTGACGCTGGAAGAAACCCACTGAGATCATCCCATCGGATTCCACCTTTTATATGGGAAGAAACAGACCCCTCACGTCAGGAGCAAGTGACTGCTCTCAAAGCCAGTTCTTGTCTACTTTAGAGCATTCTTAACTACATCAGGGGTTCTTTGCTAAAAAAAAAATAAAAATCGATCCTTAATTTGCCCAAACTGCCAAGTCTGGATGTCATGAGACCCCTTTCTACATATGCAGGCATTAGCACTCATCTTACAGAGTTGAAGAGAAAGACTTATAGGAGGAAATATGGAAAGGGAAGAACATTCCAAAGGTGAAAGAACAGGAGGTCGGCCCCAAGACACTGACCATCTTTCCCCAAATACTTGTATTCCTGGAGACAAACTCCTGCAGACGGGGCAGACAAGAAATTCTCAGCTCTTCTGAGAGCCGGCAACTCTCGCTATAAAGAACACAAGTATGTGTGCAAAATGTTGAGATTGAAAATGACTAGATTTGGGAGAAAGCTAAGTTCAAATTCAAATAAGGGGTGACACCTTCCACGTCACAGCTTCTATTTGGACACAATTGACAGGGAGCTCAAGACCTCTCCCACCAACCAGCCCATTGCGCTTTTGAACAGGACCAGTTGTATAATGTGTGTATCAGACCATTTGAGTCCAGTATAGAATATACTCAAACCTGTGTCCCTCTCATGTCTGTTGTGCATCAGCCTAGTTCTGCCCTTGGCGCCCTCGCCCACCAAGATTTCTGGAGCTGAAGATCCTCTTCAAAGCCTCTTTTCCAGAGTGAACACGCTCAGTCTCTTTGACTAGTCTTTCCCAGGTGGTTATGTAACCAACCATCAGTCCTTGCATGAAGGGGAAGTGAGATGAGTGGTTGTATCCAGCCAATGAATTAAGGCAGCCTGTGCTGAAGAATGTTTTCTCTTACCCAACGCCTCAAGTGGGTAGGGGTGGGGGAGCGAGAGAGAGACAGAGAGAGAGAAGGCCTGGTGGCGCATGCTTATCAGCAGTGGAGGCACACGGCTTCCTTCCTACACAAGTTTTTATTCCTTCCGGTGACTGTCACCCATTCACCCAATATCTGTCTATTGAGTGCCGACTATATGCCAGGCTCTGTCCTCGTACTGGCATACAACAGTGATCAAATCAAAAGCCCCCGTTCTCGTGGGGTTCCATTTTGGGGGAAATATACTTTAAACAAGATAAATATGTAAAATACTTAGCATAGTAGATAGAATGAGACTCCTGCAGCTGCTGTAACAAGTTACCACAAACTCAGTGGCTTAAAAAAACACAAATATTTTCTCTTATGATTCTAGAGGCCAGAAGTAAGTCTGAAATCAGTTTCACTGGGCTTAAAGGCAAGGTGTGAGCAGGGCTGGTGCCTTCTGGAAGCTCCAAGGGAGAGTCGGTTTCCAGACTTTTCGAGTTTCCAGAGGCACCTGCATCCCTTGGCGTGTGGCCCCTTCCTCCCATAACTCCAGTCTGTTACTTCCATCATCATGGCTCTACTTCCGCAGTCAAATCTCCCTCTGCCTCCCTTATATGAAGATCCCTGAGGTGACATTGAGGACCCACCTGGATAATGCAAGATCATCTCCCCATTTTAAGATCTTTAACTTAATCATATTTGCAGATTGCCTTTTGCTATGTCAGGGACCGTTCTCAGGTTCCAGGGGTTAGGATGAATATCTTTAGGGGATGTTATTGAGGAACTTGGGGGGGAGTAATAAAAGGGCCAGGAGGTCCTTTCTGAGCAGGTGGCCTGTGGGCAGACAACTGAAGGGAGGCCTAGGTGTCTGGGGAAGAGCATTCCAGGCAGAGAGAACAGCCAGTGTGAAGTCTGAAAGTCAGAGACAGCTAGGTACAGCGAAGGAACTGGAAGGAAGCTACTGGGGCTAGAGGGGCATGAAGAGTAACAGAAAGTCATGGGAGTGAGCTCAAAGAAGCAGGCAGAGGCTGAACCCTGGGTTCTCCGGGGATGGGCATTTGCCACAGTGGTTTAAGCAGGGGAGTGACACGGTCCCTTTGGCTGCTTCAGGCAAAAATATGCTATTACCTGGATTCGTGGGAGCCCAGATAAGACTCTTGTAATAGTTCATGGGATGGGTTTACAAGAATGTTTAGAATTCTTAAAATAGTGTGGAAACGGGAGCTGTTTTGGCTCTCTGGTGGGGAAGGGGGGTGGTGTGGGAATCAATCTTAAATAATGCAGTAGATATCCATTATGGGCCTGGCCTGGTCAACTGGCGGTGCCTCCTGCACCCCACCTCTGAGAAGTGCCAGGCCCACTCCCTCCACAGCTGACATGGAGACCTGGGGAGCTATACCTGGGAAGACCTTCATCCTGCCATTCTTCCTTCACATCCACATTTTCCATCCGGAGTGTGGCTTCTGTGGTCCCCATGGGAGCCGGGAAGAGGCACCAGCTTGAAGCAGGGATGAATTCTGAAGGAGAGCCATGGGTGGAGGCTTTACTGGACAATCATCATAATAACAACCCCCCACCCATGTGCAGCACTTCACATCCATCTGCAAAGAGCTCTTGCATCCATCGTCTTATTAAATCATTGCCCAGCTCCATGAGGCTTCCCCATTTCACAGGTGAGCAAACAGAAGCATAGAAAACTAAGAACACCCATGTGGGTCTGCAATTTGAACACAGGTGAGAGGCTGAGGCTGCAGCCACAAGCCCCCCTCCCTCTGAAGCTCTGAAATCCACCCTTATCTTGGACTTCAACTGGGAAGCCATAAACCAATTAAAGTCACTTATACTAAAGTGTTGATGACTGATATACTTAAGCTTCCTTGCTGGGGTTGACGCTTTCATATAGGACCTGGTCAACCCCAATCCATTGCTATCTGCTCCAGGCCACCTGCCCTGCCCCTTTGACCCCCCACAAAGAAGCAAGTCCTGATAACCTGCTGACCCAAGGGCTAACAATAGCAGTGTGCAAAGAGACTGAGGTTGGAAGTAAGGATCATAATTATCAACCACAAAATGCCAGTTTTGTTTTTATGGTTCTAAGAGCTGACTGGGGGCAGGGGCTGAGTCAATGCAGCGCTTTTGATGGTGGCTTAAGTGCTGGGCTATCTGGGAGCAGAGTCAGCTGTTGAGTGAGATTGAATTTGGGTATACCCTGGGGTATGGCAGACTCTCAGGCCATTCCCTCTCTGAACCTCAGTTTCCCTGTCTGTAAAAGAAAGAGTTGGCTAGAAATCATCTCTATGATATCTTTTGGACATAACAGTCCGGGATCTTGTGACTCAACTGTGCTTTTAAACCACTGGTTCACCACTGAGGGTGATTCTACTCCCCTCGACCCCAGGGACACTTGGCAGTGTTTGGAGGCAATTGTGGTTGTCACAACTGGGGGAGGAGTGCTCCTGGCATTGAATGGATGGGGGCCAGGGATGCAGCTCAACATCCCTCAGTGTCCAGGACATGATCTGGCCCCAAACATCCATAGATCTGAGATTGAGAACACTGTTTTAATCGGCAGGTTTGTGAAAGGGCTTCAGGCAGGCATGGGTTTGGCTGTCATTATAGAGGGACTACTGTGTCATTGCATCACATCCTCTTATCCTCCAAACCTGTATTGTTATCCTCGCTTGCCAGCATGTAAGGTTCTCCACCTCCAGCCCCTCATTCTTCCCTGATGCCTCCCCCCTCACCCTGCTCACACCCCTCTGTAGAGCTGGTGCAAGGCTAACAGTTCAGTTCAGGTGTGGCATCCGAAATCCCACAGTAGGTCTCAGCCCCTGGAGAGGGTGGGTTTGCATTTGGGATATGGCTCAGAGAGGGAGGAGTCTGAGACAGATGAGGGGCACAGAAGGAGGAGATGGCTACAATTAGAGCTCCCCCCCACCCCACTTTGGTGAGAGTTTCTCACTCGATTTTTTTTTCCACTGTCCTCAATGTCGTCATTCATTCATGGAGGAGAGACTCTAAGACGCAGTATGCCAAAAAAACCCAAATAAACAAAACAACCCTTTCTGCCGTTTTTCTGCCGTTACAGGCAACCACCACAATCCAGAATCTTACTGCAAGTGAAAGTTCACTTCAATGGAAATTCATTACCTGTCTAAAGAGGGTGGTCTTTTCATTAGTTTTCCTTATCCTGAGCTGGGTGTGATCTCAGCCCTCAGGAAGACCCACCCTCCCCCACCCCACCCACACACACAGCGGAGACCCTGGAGCCACACATATTGTGGGACCCACAATCCTCTAAATGTGGGTGTGGGTGGGCCCATGAGGGGCCTTGTCCACTTCGGCTCTCCCATCCTGACTTCACATTTAACAACAGTGAGGCAAAGGGACACAGCTGAGAAGTGTTCCTTTGCGCCGTGGTGCTGAATTATTAGCACATCACATTCAAGTTCAGATGGAGGAAGAACCTGTCTTCAACCATCGCCCTTCTCCCCACCCCATAGACGAGACTTTATGTACACATTTCTCAAATCCTTTTTCCAGATCCGCTCACGGTGTTATAAATAGGAAAGGCACAGAGGTGGGACGTGGGCCTTTCGGTCTCTTAGGAAGCGTCCCAGAGAGCGGCTGAGGGTTTCATCTGCCTAATGTATAAACACGTCCTGAAAATGGTGCGATCCTCTGCTTCCAGGTGAGGGGTGGGCATGGAAGGCGAATTGGGGTGTGTGCGCCGGTGAATGGAAAAATGGGTGGGTTCCCACTCAAAGAGCCACAGGACCGTGGTTCTCTGTTCCCACCCTCCTCATCGGCTAAAAGGGGGTTTGCTGCAGCAGATGCCTGGGGCACCCTTCCTGGGCAGAGCAGGGGTAAAGGAAGGTGGACTCACCTTGGCGGTGAATGCCAGTTACCTCCGCGGCCTCTCCTGGTTATTCTCAGACAAGGGCGAGCCCTGAGCGGGTGCAGCCCGGCATCCCTGGTTTTCTGAGCGCGGCCTCCGGGCCTTCAGAGTATCCAAGAAAGATGCGCGCAGGGGCGGACTCTGCATCCAAGCAAGGTCACCCAGAGCAATGTGGCCGGCGCAGAGGGGCGCTTTTGTCCAGGGGTGGGGAGCGGCTTGCCGCTAGCGGTCGGCTTCCCCTCTCTCTGCAGTGTCTGTGTCGCCTGTCATGGTCGCAGCTCGTGCCTCTAAGGTATTTTCTTCTGTCCAGCTCGCAGCAGGCAGGGGCTCGGTTTCCTTAAGATGGTTAATTACAGTGCTTTTGTGTGCAGGGTGGGTGGGTGGGGGCAGGGCTGACCAGAAAGCACAGCCCCCTGCCAGAATCCGGGGATCTCCATTGGCTGGGAGGGGAGCATTTCCAAGAGCCTCACCAGCGGCAGAAGCGGAAATGAGTTCCTTGGTGGCGCATCACAGATTTAAAAACAAAACAAGGAATGAATAAATAAATAATTAAGTAAGTAAGTAAGTAAATAAATAAATAAATAAATAAATAAATAAATAAATAAATAAATGGTGGCGATGGTCTCATTCCTCCGATTAAGAGGGAGAAAGGGAACGATATCCTCAGGACCTCATTTCACGGGTCCCTCTGCCGGCTACTGACTACTGATTGAGCCGTGTGCCAAGGACTGGGATGGGGGACAGAATCTTCTCAGGCACACTTGCTCCCGACCACTGAGGGAAAGGCGCCCCCTGCAGTTGTGTGCTGCTGTGGCCCTGCCCTGGAGGACTTCAGGAGGACAATAGAATGGTATAGAATTAACACTGAAGCCTCTGAAATCAGATCAGAAGTGGGATTGAACCCTGGCTCTGCCAGTCACTAGCTGGGGGACCAGGCCGGGTAAGTGATCTTAACCTGCTGGGTCTCAGTTTCCTTATCTGTGATATGGAAACATGGTACTGGTGTTTCCGCATTTAATGAGATAAAGCACTGAGAGCACTTAGCACGGTGCGGGAGCATGAGAAAGGCTCTGTACATGTTTCTTGCTTACTGTTTTTATTTTTAGACCTGCAGCAGGTTGAATGGTGCCCCCCCCAAAAAAAAGATATGGTCATGTCCTAATCCCTGGAACTTGTGAATGTGACCTGGTTTGGAAAAAGAGTCTTTGCAGATGGAATTAAGTTAAGGATCTCCAGATGAGATTGTCCTGGATTTAGGATAAGCCCTAAATCTGATGGCAAGTGTCTTTAAAAGAGAAGAGAAGGGGAGGAGACCTATGAGAAGGGAACACCATGTGACAACAGAGGTTGAGATTGGGGTGATGCATCTACAAGCCAAGGAACACCGAGAACTGCTGGCCACCACCAGAAACTGGGAGAGGCCTGGGATGGACTCTCCCTCACAGCCTCCAGAAGGAGCCAGCCCTTTTGACACTTTGATTTCAAACTTCTAGTCTCCAGAATTGTGAGAGAATAAATTTCTATGGTTTTCAGCCACCTAGTTTGTGGCACTTTGTTACAGCAGTCACAATAAACCAATATGTGCGCCCAAGTAGGAACTGATGCCTATTTTTTTCTCCTGCCCCTCTTAAATGCCGCAGTGGTTTTTGTTCTGCGAACACATGAAATTCATTACCACCACAGGGCACTTGCTCATGCTGTTGCCTCTGCCAGGAATGCTCTTCCCCCACATGTTAACATTACTCAGGTGTCAGCTCTGATGTAACCTCAGAAAGGCTTTCCCTTATCACCCTGCAACCCATTGCTCAGTCTGATGTTTTTAGTATATATTTTAAAAATTGTGGTAAAATATGCATAACATAAGATTTACCATTGTAACCATTTGCAAGTGTACAGTTCAATGTCATTAAGGACATTCACAATGTTGTGCAACAATCACCATTATCTAGTTCAAGAACTTTCTCATCTCCCTAAATGAAAATCCCATCCCCATTAAGTACTTCCTCAATCCCCCTCCCCCAGCCCCTGGCAACCATGAACCCACTTCCTGTCTGTCAATGTGCCTGTTCTGGACATTTCATACAAATGGAATCACACACTGTGTGACCTTGTGTGTCTGGCTTCTCTCACTGAGTATGTTTTTCAAGGATCATCCCGGTGTAGTGTGTCAGTGCCTCACTCCTTCTTATGGCTGAGTAGTATATTCCATTGTATGCGTGGGCCACATTTTGCTTATCTATTCACTAGTGGATTGACATTTGGGCTGTTCCTATTTTGGGGGGTATTGTGACTAATGCTGCCATCAACATGGGTGTACATGGACTTACTGAGAAACCTGATGTGATTTTTTTCCAAAACACTTACCACTATTTGAAATGATTTACTTGTTTCTTTGTTTATTCCCTGACCCCCTTATTAGAATACACATTTCAAGAGAAATGAGACTTGGTTGGTCTTGTTCACTACAATGTCCTCCACAGAGGGTGGCTGCACCTGGCACAGAGGAGATGTTCAGGAAACACAGGTAGAATGTGTGAATGCTGGTTCCTGTCGTGGATACCAGACAACACTCTACTTACATGGCTGGCTCCCTCATGAGTAGAATGGATTGAGAAGGGGTAGAAAAGGCATTGTGGACAGAGGGTCATTTGAAAAGCAGCAGCCCTTTACCCATGACAGTGCACTGGGAGCTGTCCGTGGTGCTGCAGCCATTGCCAGGGAGCCAAGCGCACGACCCAAGTTTGGCGCTTTTCTGGTGGGTTTTTTCTTATTCTTTATTTTGGGGGGCAGGGTCTGGTGTATTTTTAATTGGGGTTAAAATATGCATAACATAAAATTTGCCATTCTGATCATTTTAAGTGTAAGGTTCAGTGGCATTAACTACATTCACAAGGTGCAACCATTACCACTATCATCTCTAGAACTTTTTCATCTGCCCAAACTGAAACTGTCCCAGATAAACAGTAACTCCCCAGTCCCTCATAATGTAAACTCATTGTTGACTCTCTAATCCCTAGACCAGTGGTTGTCACCGGAAAGCGATTCTGACACCACCCCTCCCACCCCAGGAGACAATTGGTGATGACTAGAGACATTTTTTGTTATCACGATTTGGGGAATGGGAGTGACACTGGCATCGAGTGGGTAGAGATCAGGGATGCTGCTCAACACCCTACAATGCACAGGACAGTCCCCCACAATAGAGAGTTATCTGGCCCCAAGTATCAATGGTGCCGGGGTTGAGAAACCTGCCTTAGAAGAATGCCTGAAACATAGTCACTTCTCAGTAGTTATTTAAGACATGGAAATTGTTAAACCTCCTCAAGTCTCATTTTCCTGATTTGCAAAGGGGATTAATACAAGTACATTCAACCCCCATTATTTCTTGTTTCTATGTTTGTGAATTTGCCTACTGGCTGAAATTTATTTGTAACAATTGTAACCCCCAAATCAATACTCGCAGTGGCTTCAGGGTCATTTGCAGGCAGTGCAGAGCTGTGAAAATTTTGAGTGCATGTTACCACCTGCGGTGGGACAAAGTGATGCTCTGTCTTCTTATTCCAGCACAGACTATAAACACCTTTTTTTTCGGGGTCTATTTAGTGCCATGCTTTTGCATTTTTGTGCTTGTTGTTGGTTATTTGGCTGTTTATCATGGCTCCCACGCATGGCGCCTAAGTGCTGTCTAGTGTTCCTAAGCACAAGAAGGCTGGGATGCACCTTACAGAGAAGATACACATATTAGATAAGTTTCATTCCAGCGTGAGTTATAGTGCTGTGGGCTTTGAGTTCAATGTTGAGAAATTGATCATGTATATTAAATAAGTTGTCTTTAAACAAGACACACACATAAAACAAGTGGATGAAAATATTGCTCACAGAAACCTAACCATGTATTTCCCCAGGAGCAGGGGCTCAGTGTCTGCCATTCAGTGTTTGCAGCAACTTCATAGAACAGAACTGCTGCCAATAATGAGAATTGACAGTATCTATACTTCTGAGGGCTACTGTGAGGACTAGATAAGATTGTGCATGTAAAGCATTTAGCACAATGCTTACAGTCAATAACAGGGGGGAAAAAAGATATTATGTAATTCAGAAAAAAACCATTAAAACAAACCTGCATTTGTATAATACATGCAGCTTTCGTTATCTAGAGCTGCAGAGAACTGGAGAAAGGCCATGTGTAATTACCATGCTGAACTTTAGCCAGTGCATGGTGGGAGAACTGTGTTCTTCAGACCCAGTAGATTGTTCCTCAAGGCCACACATGGTCATAAAGACACATATGGAAGAATGATACCAACTAAATCACCCATACGGCTTTCCTTGGCACCCTGGGCTCGCCATGGTTTCTTTCCAAGAATTAACTAGGTCCCTGACTGTTTAAATTAAAGGGCAAAATAACACCACCCCACCACATCCAGCAATGTACTTTTTTGGGTCTTTTTAAAAATTAATTTTTAAAATTTTGAAATAATTTTAGAATCACATGCAGTTGTAAGAAATAACAGAGATCCCTTTCCCCCCATGTTACCCAATGGTTAACATCTTACAAAATTATAGTACAATATCACTATTGCTTTTGATACAGTCAAGATTCAAAACACTTCCATCATTCCAGGATCCCTCATGTTGCCATTTTATAGCCACTTCCACTCCCCATTTCCCCATCCCCAGGAAACCACAAATATGTTTTCATTTTTATAGTTTTGACCTTTCAAGAATTTTATGTAAATAGAATCATAAGCGTATGTAGCCTTTTGGCATTGGCTTTTCCCACTCAGCATAATTCTCTAGAATTTCATCCAAATGGTGGTATATATCAAAAGTTTATTGCTTTTTATTGCTGAGTAGTATTCCACTGATATGAAATGTGTAGAACAGGCAACTCCATAGAGACAGAAAGCAAACTAGTGGTTGCAGGGGCTGGGGTGGAGGGGATTGGGGAGTGATTGTTAATGGGGACATGGTTTCTTCCTGGAGTGATGAAAGTGTTCTGGAGTCAGTGGAGATAGTTGCACAACTCTGTGAAGGTACTAAAAACCACTGAATTGCACACCTTAAATGGATGAATTGTATGGTATGTGAATTATATCTCAATAAACCTGTTATTAACCAAAAAAAGTACCGTACTTGTAATTAGTAGTTTGGTTATGATCTGCTTCCCTGATTCTAAGTTCCCAAGGATGAGTACAATGTCAGTTTTGCTCACTGCTGCATCCCCCCCATAAAGCCTGGCCTGTAATAGATGGGTCAAGCTATCTTTCTCAAGATGAATTACCCTTAGAGTAGGGTTTCTCCTCCCCAGTACTAGTGACATTTGACCCCGTTGACTAGTGACAATGGCTCCATTGTAGGGGGCCATTCTGGACACTGTGGGGTGTTAAACAGCATCCCTGGCCCCCACCCACTCCATGCCAGGAGCACCCCCAGTCATGACAACCATAGATATCCCCAGACACTGCCCAGTGTCCCCTGGGGGCAAATCACTCCAGTTGACAACCACTAATTAGAGCCACTGAATTTGAGGTGCTGAGTGAGCTCTTAGAAGGCCC